GCCACCCTAAGCTCACTTCTGAGTTTCTGGCTTTCAAGGCCGATCACGCCGTGAGCCCTCTCGCGGATTCCGCCGTGCTCGTCGCTCCCGCGTCGTACACCGCAGCGTCCGCCATGCCTGCCGCTCCCGCGTCGCCTATACTAGTGGGTAAAACTGCTGCGTCGTCCGCCGTGACCGCTGCTCCCCTGGNAAACAGAAACCTCTCTAAGAGAGAGTCGTTTCTCCCTCATGGACCTCCGTAAGTGAGACTGCTACTTATCTATACCTCTATAAGCGACAGTCGAGCTTTATTTATTTATATTATTTAGGAGGAACAAATGACAAAACAAACTACAAATTTAACATCTGCTATTTTATGACTCATTCTTAACTTTCGGGGAACTTCCTATAATTGTTTTTGTAGTGTTTTCTCGTCAATATTGAACCTATTCTATTTCGTGGAACTAAATAACGTTGTTATTTTATCGCATTATTTTCGAATGGACACGTGTGCCTGTGTACCGTCCTGTTTGTCGGCCTTACTCAGTTTATCGTTAATTAATTGCGAAAGAAAGTTCTGTTCTGCATCATGTCAAAACGGAAAATTAAAGTACTGTCATTAAGTGATAAACTTAAAATAGTGAATGCGTTTGAATCCGGAAAATCGCGAAATGAAATTCATTATGAGCATTACCGAGAAACTCGGGTTAGTGAGAAACCTCTATAAGCGAGAATGAGATTGTGCTCCCTTGAACTCTCGCTTATCCAGGTTTGACTGTACATTTCATGTTTAAAATAAAATAAAAACAAAGGTGTAAGTTTTTACGGTCAAAGACTTATTTGAAATATTTGGAGAATATATTTAAATGCGGCATAATTTCGGAGGAGGAAGCGGAGGAATACGAAATGTCGATTTAGGTCTTTTCCATAGGTGTCTTCAATCAAAAATGTATTTGTTCCTTTCTTTCATGGATTCATGGATGTATGAGAAAGGAACAGCTATAGCATTTTTTAACTAACAGTATCATGCTATTATTAGTATAATATGGATAAATGATTGTAAAATCAATACTGCGTCGCGGCTCACAAATTTTTAACAAACAACAAGATGGCTATATTTTAATTCGTAGGAAACGTAAACATCTGACGTCAGCATTTAACCGGCGATGTCTTAGTTGCGCCTGTCTCGCGAAAACGTTAAGACAATATCAGTGGACCTTTATTTAATTAAGTTCCAGTTTAAACATCATGTAGCAGTAGCATGTGTTGTAAGAAGTCGAGCCGGTCGTCGTCTTTGGTAACATTTCCAGTCCTGTCCGACAAACTCGTTAAAAGTTAGTGAAACAACGGAAGCAGCGTTACTTCGGAGACACTTGCGACCCCCGACGCTAAGTACAAAAGTATTACACGACAATAATATGAAACATTTTGTTTGTCTTGCAACTAACGCAAGGACTGTTTAAGCCAGATATAGCCTAGTAAACGTTAGCTAGACTGTAATCATTTTCAGTGTTTTCTTATCGTATTTAGTGAAGGAATAAAATTGTGAACATACATTTATACGTATATTTCACTTTCTTTTTTTTTTTTTTATGATTGAAGGATTACTGGTGGCCCGGCGGCCTTTCCAGTTTCACCAGGACAGGTGGGCGAGCAAAGGCTCAGCCAGGAGGGGTGGGATTTGCTAACAGCTGCCCGAGCGCCTCCGAAGGAGAGCGAAGAGAGAGAAGAGTTTTGTGACTGCCAATGGAATACAAAGTCAATAATTCGTTTTTCTGATTTACCAATAATTGTCCAAAAGTCACATTGCCGGCTTTGATAATAGTCGACTCAATTATAATATAATCCATCATCATTTCTTGAACATGCAATACCTATGTATTAAATTTGAAAATGTTCTACGTGACAACAACTTTTAAATTATTAAATACTTACTTAAGTTAATACGTAGTAGGTAGCTCTGTTCAAAATAATTATGATCAATCTAAACTAACGTATTATTTTATTGTTGCTCTTTGACGATAGAAAACAACACTTGTAGCCACACCGATGCAAATTGCTATTCGGATTTTTTTGGGATTTCTTCGGTAACTCGCTCCACTGCACTGCAGTAGTCCCGTCACAGAAAAAAGTCAACAAGAAACGACCGTCTAACCGTCCAGCTTCAAATTTATGAACGGAAAATAACAATTTTAAAATTTCAGAAAAACAATTTCCCTACGCAACTAAAACGGGATTGTATTGTAGTGTTGTATGTAAAAATGACTAATACTCGTACATACGTACTTTTAATGGATTATAATAGAGCCCAAACATTTATCGACAGATAAAATCTTTACTAGGTATACGATATTTTTTTCATTACGCAATCGGCCCAGCTCTCTTGTCAAGTACATTGCAAAACGGTTTCGATTCAACTCACAGTACAGTCACTCCAAGGAATAAGGATAAATTATCAATCCATCCTTTTATGTTCGAAAGCCTAACAAGAAAATAATTGGCATCTTAAGTGTTGAGTATGCTGGGCTCCTATGCTATCAGGTTGTTGCTCAACTTATGCGATCAATGGTAATTAAGAATTAAAGTTATCATTACAATTCAAAATAAGTACCTTTTAATGAAGCCAACAAACTATCTGGACAGCCTCTCGACGAAAAATTCAGGTAAACAGATGGTTTTTACAGAAACTCTTACGGCTGGCTTCAAACGGTAGTCTGGATTTAAAAAGATTTAATATTTAGTCCTACTAATATTATATTATTAATGTGAAAGTTTGTAAGAATGTATGGATGTATGTTTGTTACTTTTTCACACAAAAACTACTGAATGGATTTTGATGAAAATTTACAGTAATATAGCTTACCTACACATCAGAATAACGCATAGGCTATAGTTTATAAAGAAGTAGTGTGAATTACCAAAAATATTACGATAAGGGTCAAGTAGGAAAAAATCTACCATCTGAAAGCTATTATAGCGTGCACTGCAAAAACCGTTGAAGTTAGACATGTATACCTACTCTATTATGGAAATGTTTATCTTAAATAGTTCTACAAAAAAGCCCGCGACAGCGTATACCTATCTCTCTTTTATGTGCAAACCATAGTGAACCAAAAATGCAATAAAAATTGATAATTTATAAACGCACATTTGGTAGTCACAAATTGATTCTTAAATGAAAATAAATCTGGTAATTAAAGTATGCAAACTTTGTTTTTTTCACTACATAATTTGGAAAATTATTTGAATAGTTATGAGCACACCTCCGATTACCCTCTTCAGCCAACCCCATACCCTGGGCCAGGAAGGTGTCACCCTGGATGCATCCATGACATTCCGCCCTCATATAAAATCCGACCGCGACCGTGCCGCGTTTCTTCTCGGCAGACTCTACCGGAGCGGAGCAAAATGTTCCTTCGGAACAAGGTGACACTTTACAAAACTTGCATAAGGCCCGTCAAGACTTACGCAAGTGTGGTGTTCACTCACGCGGCCCGCACACACAGAACACCCTCCAATCTCTACAATCCCACTTATAAAGGCTAGCCGTCGGAGCTCCGTGGTTCGTGAGGAGCGTTGTCCTACACAACGACCTGGACCTCTAATCAATCCGGAAACACATGAAGTCAGCGTCGGATTGGTACTTCGATAAGGCTATGCGTTATGATAATGACCTTATCGTTGCCGCCGCTGACTACTTCCCGAATCCTGATCACGCAGGATCCAGTCACCGTCGACGCCCTAGACACGTCCTTACGGATCCATCAGTTCCAATAACCCTTGCATTAGCTTTAACACTAGGAGTAGGGACCCCGGTAACCGTGGTCCTCGAACTCGGCAGAGTTCGACAACCTAACCTAAGCATCAGCCCGCTGAGTTTCTCGCCGGATCTTCTCAGCAGGTTGCGATTCCGATCCGGTAGTAGACTCATTCGCAAAACAGCTACTCTTTGAGTCGTTAGGTCTCGTTTCGAGGCGCTCGAGTAGCTGTTAACGAACCCCACCCCTCCTGAGTGAGCCTCTGCTCGCCCACCTGTCCTGGTAAAACTGAAAAGGCCTCCGGGCCACCAGTAACTCTACTCTACTCTACTAAACTACCAGTAACGAAGTTCTCTAATATAAAAAAAAAACAAAAAAATTATGAGTATAAACAACCTAGTGCGCGATATCAATAAAGATGAATATAGAAAATTCAATAAGTTCAATAATAAATTACAGTTCCCGAAGCGAAGCGCGGGCGGGTCGGTAGTATGAAATAATTTACTTTGCACATTCCAATTTAATCTACCAGAAGTTCTGTTAATGCAGCAAATAGGTAGGTACTATTAATTAAATTCGTAGCGTTCATATTTTTTTTCCTACCTATGCTGATAGCCTTGAGAGGCTATTTCAGCTTCACCCTAACGTTAGTAGGTGAGCTCGCGGGGCTCAACCGGAGAGTTGCTAACACTGACCCTAGCAAGAGCAGTGCTTCGCAGAATCTACCACCGGATCGGAAACGCGACCCACAGAAGATCCGGCGAGAAACTCAGTGGGCTGTGTCTATGGGTTAGTTCGCTCGTCGAGCCCTTCGTCGCAAGCGACGGGTTCGACGAGGACGGTAACCGGTGCATGTGGTGCCTAAAAGCACCGTTAATGGGTCAGGAGGATCCGTAATGACGTGCTTTGGGCGACGTCGACGGTTTACCATTCGGTCTACTGGGTCTGGTATGTAGTTTCCAGCGGCTACGATGAAAGAGTTCTCATGTCCCCGTAGCGTTCATAGGTTTTTAATTAACAAACTAGTCGCAATAAAACAGTTTATTTGTACATCATTTTTTATTTATCAACAAACGACACCGTTAAATCTAATCACAGGTCTAAAAATTACATTCTAAAATATCATATTTAAATACAAGAACACTTTCAATATTATATCAAAATACCACCCAACACATTGTTCGATTCATGTCTTAAAATACGCGGGCGACGAGTCACGTTTTTACCTCCTTTTCGTTAAGAAAAAACTAAAGAACAAAAACAGTTAAGGAAATACTTCAATGATGCAACCCAATCTCTAGAAACTATATTAATTTTGAAAATATTAAGAAGCATGCAGCAAGTGAATATTTATCAGAATATTCAATATAGTGAATAAGTCGACGTCATGTCTAGTTTGTATACAAGTCGTAATTTAAAATCATCCTCTCGGACAAAAATCTTTACCATAATGAAAACACTATACAAATAAAGAAACTACTAAAAACCTGAAGTGATTTTTTTTTATAATATAAATAACAAAAGGTTCAAGTTATGTAAAATGTGGTCCACTTTCAGATATAAATACATAAATACAAATAATATCCATGTCAATACAATTCTATCAGCACTCACAGTCATCATATATTTTATCTAAAAACTAAATTATATCTAAATTTAAAACATAAACAAAGCAGGTACCTTAAAACAAGCTTAATATAAAACTCAGTCCATTAAATTAACATTACAAATCAGAAAAGTACACACATGTCCCTATTATTTCTATATTCCTACATATTTTGGTAATTCAATTTAATCTAAGGGCTTGGGCTTGATATCTTTGCGAGTTCATAAATCGCTTCGCTTTTCAACTGCGGAAGACTGGAAACTTTAGCCAACGTCGTGTCCAAATATTTGTTATATACGGCTTTATATTTGGAATTTTCAATGTTAATAACAATCTTTGCGATTTTCCTTATAATCGGATCTATGTGTTCAAGATCGTACCCAGAGTAGTAAGACAAGGTAGACGTCCATACTTCGGAGAGTGTCTTGCTCGATAGCAAATGAAGTGAGAGGCAGATTGCTGCCGCTGCTAGTTCTGACGGTCGATAATGGGCCATAGTATATTCGACTAGACAGAGATCAACAAAGTATTTGGCCAAATGATGATTCCTCGATGTACCACGTGCAGCTTTTACAAATCTAGAATAACATAAAAATTATCAATAACACGTCAGCGCAAAAGTGGCCTAACCCATAATTCATATTCGTGCTTATATATTGCAATTTATTTAAAACATAATAAATTTTGATGCAAAATCGGCCTATCCTTAGTTTCATCCATAGATGCCTTTGTAAACATCATTTTAGCGCATTTTTTTTTTTTGCCTACGAAGTATTGTAAAGGTAAATTCGAACCTCATTATCTCCATACTAACTATGGTAAGCTTACGCCACTTTTGCGCTGACGGCCTCATATATAAACAAGTTTTTGACTGCATTACTTACATTTCAAATAATACGATGACTGTCTTGCAGAAAATAAAAATCTTATGAAGGTGGACCTAGCAATTTAAAATTTTGAAAAATTGATATACCATGAGGTCCTTTCCTGAAGTGGTGTTAAAGTCTTAATTTATGTATAAAAAAAATTGTTTTTAAGTATAAACGAACCCATTATCCACTTAGTATTAGGTAGTTAGTTACCAGAGCCCATAGAACACCATGATTCCGACTAAAACAAGAGGTTGAAATCTCAAAGGCACTATTAAAAGCACACCCATGATTCAAACTGGAACGATTTTTTTTTTTTCCTACTTAGGCTGGTAGCGTTGAGAGGCCATTCCAGCGGAACCTTAACTAGTACGTGAGCTCACGGGGCTCAAACTTGACGAAGTTGCTAACATGAACCCTAGTAAGAACCGTGCTTCGCAGAATCTACCACCGGATCGGAAACGCGACCCTGAGAAGATCCGGCGAGAAACTCAGTGGGCTGTGTCTGAGGGTTAATTTACTCGTCGAGCCCTGCGTCGCAAGCGACGGGTTCCACGAGAACGGTGACTGGTGCTTGAAGTGCCTAAAAGCACCGTTAGTGGATCGGGAGGATCCGAAATGACGTGTTTTGGGCGACGTCGACTGCTTTCCATTCTTTCCGCAGGATCGGGAATGTAGTTACCGGCAGCCACGATGTGAGGGTTCTCGTGTCGTGCCGCTTTATCGAAGTGGACGCTATTATAAAAATCGTTTGCGCACATAGGAGCCTGTGTTAAGTACGTATTTACTTGATTTGCCTTAATTGACACCTGCCTGCAGATTCGTAACAATGTCATAGTTTCATTGCTTTGTGAGAATGCACCCGACGTCTTTTCTCTTTAAGATGACTTAACGTAACATTACGATTATACCACTAATTTTGTCAAACAAATTAATTCTGTTCAAAAAAAGTTTTAAATTACATATTTCATATTTATCGTTTGTTTTCTACTACCATCTACAACCTACCAGTGCTACCACCAATTCTTCAATGCACTTAGTCCATGAGAACAAGTATATATTAAGGTTCTACTATTCAATTAGGACAAAGTTGCCTAAATCAGGAGGAGGATGGAATTCGTTTTCATATTATAAGTTGCTCAATACATCAATATAGAAATAAAAAAAAGACAATCACAATACCTTCTAAGAAAACTCAAAGGTATCGGTCTCGCAAGACAGAAGCCCAGTTTGCACATAATGTCTCTCTCACAGCGGAATACATCAGACTTGGTGTAGGCATTATCAGTGACATAAACAAAATCGCCAACATCTGGAGCGTAGATCTCTTCATACTTGCTTGCTATGAACATAGCCGTCACACCGACTAATTGTAATTGATTGCGCTGGACATTTGGAACAACCTGTACAAAACAGTAATGTTTAATATTTGGTCATTTTTTGTTACTTACATGATAATAATACTCTTTTGAAGTCGTCGTGGCCTAAAGAATAAGACGTCCGGTGAATCGTGTCTAATGATGCAACGATGTTCGAATTCGGTGGGTACCAATTTTTCTAATGAAACACGTACTTAACCAATGTTCATGATTGACTTCCACGGTGAAGGAATAATATCTTATAATAAAAATCAAACCCGCAAGATTATAATTTGCGTAATTACTGGTGGTAGGACCTTTTGTAAATCTGCACGGGTTGGTACCACCATCTTGCCTATTTCCGCCGTGAAGCAGTAATGCGTTTCGATTTGAAGGATGGGGCAGCTGTAGTAACTATACTGAGACCTTAGAACTTATACCTCAAGGTGGGTGGTGCATATACGTTGTAGATGTCTATGGGCTCCGGTAACCAGTTAACACCCGGTGGGCTGTGAGCTCGCCCACCCAGATAAGCAATAATAATAAAAAACTCAAGTTTCTTAACTTCTCACCCTTTAATCCTAATATTCAATCTATCTGGTGATAATGGCTATTCTGAGCTAACAAAGATCAATACTATGGGACAGTAGTTCTGTTGTAATCACATATTCTGACTTGAAGAGTAGAGCCAGCAGGTAATACATTTAAGACTGAGTTTAGTCTTAAGGATGATATGGTATTTCAATTCCCACAGAATAGTCATAGGAAAACAAGTATTCCCTCCCATTAAACCAGATGGTTTGCTTTTATGCTGCACATACTACTTAGATCACTATACCTGCAAATATCTGTCAATAATGCCAACAGTGAGATGGAATGTCTCCAATACTAATGAGAATTGGCGTTGAACTTCCACAAGCCAATCAATGAGTGTTGCTCTCATTTTGCCAGTTATAACAGTCTGAAATAAAAAAAATACATGTTTCAAAACCTATTGCAAAAAGGCATGCCTTAGGCTCAAATTTATTGTTGCATTCAACGTTCCTAAGATTTCAATTACTTTAGATTACTTGACTTTAGAAAATATGTACAATACTTATCATTCATTAGTTTTACTTACATAGTCTTCTTACATCATTTAATGTTCAACAGAAATTGGTTGATTCAACTCAGATCAGACTCAGCTACCCACCATTATAGTCTTAAATATATTGGAATTACAAAATCAGACTGGAACACATTATTGCTTCATGGCCATAATGGACAGGCTGATATAAACGCAACAAATAGTGCCAACCAGATGATTGAAAGCACAAGGAAAGATTACAGCAAATTACTACTAATAGAGAGAGTAATAAGACTGTGTAAATAAATTTTATGACAAAACTTTATTAATGCTCAAGGCAGCTGTCGCATATTATTATTAACTATATTCATTATAATCCTATATTATTATAGTCTAAAAGTTTTCAATTATTTCTAGTACCAATTCAAATTTTCTTTTCTTTTTTTTTAAATATAATAAACAACATACGTAATGATAAACCAACAAGGTAGAAATTTACAAAAAAGTATTAAATATATGAGAACGACAATTTACCTGCTTTTTTAAATGATCGGGCTCAATAGAATATTTCTCTTCCAATTCAGTCAGGTATTTGTAAATGTCCTTGATATACATAGACATTAGCAAAGGGCTGTTGTTGTCTCCAGCATCAATATCTTCAATATCCTCAGGCAGTGGAGGTGTAATATCAAACACAGTTTCAAAGAAATCAGCTTGTTTTTCTACCTTGGCTTTATCTATTAAGCCCATTCCCTTCTCAGGGTATGTTTCAGCTAGTTTTAACTTTCCTAATGATTCGATTGGGTCTTTTAATGCTAGTTTTGTTTTCCGCAAAGAGTCAGTTCCATCTTTCAGATGTGATTTGGATGTTCTTAATTCTTTATTTTCCTTTAGCATGGGCAGCTTTGTTTTTTTTGTGTCTTGACATTTCTTAGTTTGTATGTAGATGTTAATTGATTCCTTTATTTCATTTGGCTTGTTCTGATTATCTTTTAAAGCGACCTAAAAATATATTAATTAATTTGGCATCTTAATGTTATGTTTTTCACTTCTAAGCATTTTACATTTATTTACTTATTTTTGTAGACATATGTATGGACTCAAAACCTACAATGTCTTAAGTGGTTACTGGAACCCATAGATATCACAATGTGAATGCTGCCACTCACCTTGAGACATGAGTTCAGAGTCTTAGTTTTAACTGGACAATGGCTGCCCCACCCTTCAACTGTAATGGATGGTGGTGGTACCTGCCCATGCTGGCTCACAAGACGCCCTATCATCAATGCTGCCACTCACCTTGAGACATGAGTTCAGAGCCTTAGTTTTAACTGGACAACGGCTGCCCCACCCTTCAACTGTAATGGATGGTGGTGGTACCTGCCCATGCTGGCTCACAAGACGCCCTAACATCAATGCTGCCACTCACCTTGAGACATGAGTTCAGAGCCTTAGTTTTAACTGGACAACGGCTGCCCCACCCTTCAACTGTAATGGATGGTGGTGGTACCTGCCCATGCTGGCTCACAAGACGCCCTATCATCAGTCTTATCACCAGTAAATAACCATACCAGTAAATTGCTTATACAGGTGGCTATGAGCTCGTTCACCCAATATAATTCATAAATAAAAATTTATAATAATAGTAGGCTGGGTGTATTTGGACCACAACATCTTTCAACTTTTCAATACTCACATGTAAATGCAGGTGACATTTGAAAATACAAGGAATCCCTGTGCTATGTCCTATAGGCTAACAGTAAGTATGACTGTGTTTAGTTTTCAGATAGCTATATTGCATTGGTAACATGTACCATGCTCATGAATAATCACATTAGTAATGTGCCATTACTATAAATCTTTATCTAAACCACATGCGCAAGCATAACTCAGATTGACCAGCTAACTGATGACAGCAATAATTATATGTGAACAGCAATACCAGATTGTGATGTCTTTTGATGTACAATGTTAGTAGTTTAGTCTAACTATAATATCAAAATCTGTCAGCGATAGGACAATAGTAAATCTGCTACTGGTGCTGGATTATTTTCTACATTACTACAGTATTAATGTCTACATAGAATACCATATAACTCAGATATGTTTTACAAAGGTTTTTACCCTGGTACGAGTTACAGCTCTGGCGGTCAATCCAGCAGTGCTCTCTTCACGGCGGAGTGGGGGCCTTGAAGATGGCTGAATAACATTTTTGACAGCTAATCCTGTGTCTACTTTTGATGTTACATGACTATAGTTGCTGTAGAAATAAATTAAGTAAAAATATTTGTATTCATCATCATCATTGCATTAATGTTAGTATTACAAATATAAAAGCTGATAAAATTATACTATTAATTTATCATTCATAATTTACATTTTAAAATTTTGTTGAATATGAGTGAAAGACGATGTGTAAAAGGGGACTGAGCGAAGAAATGGTATATGATAGAAAACATGTTGCGCCAGCCTCAGGTGACTGGGAGAAGGAGGAGGAGGAGGAGAACAGGAGAATATTATATTATATCTTTCTTTATAGTATAGTATATACATTGAAATTAAAATTACAGTTCATTTAAATGTCAGTTATATTTAAGGATTCTATTCCGATCCGATGATTATTTCTGTATAACACGGAGTGAAGACGTTTAATTTTTTTTTTTTTAAATATGGGAATTATGTTAGATCTTTTAAAATGAGGGTAGTTACTATCAAATTCTTATGGATTATCTGACCTTCGTACTACGCCACGGTTTAGGGTGGCTTTTTTCTCAAATTCAGCAGTTGTAACGGCAACTTTGCCGAGAGCTTCGCGTTGAACTTGCACATTTGTGTTCAAATCACCTAACGCCCCACGTACTGTTAATCCCAGCCTTTTTGTAGGGACGGCTCCATTACCTTTCCCGCGGACACCAGCATACAGATTTTCTTGGTCTTGAATCTGTGCCTGAAAATGTTTAAATTACATAAAAACGTTAAACATTCAGGTAAAAATGTTTTGCACATTTTAATTACACTTACCGATCTATGCCGCCTTAGTTGAATTTCCATGATTGTTATATTGTCACGATTCTTAGTTTTCACTTAGTATTCAAAAACTTTGTTGAATGTAAATAAATTTACATTCAAACAATTTAACTGCCTTTACCGTCCAACGATGTTTTATTTTAGTTATTTCACCAATATTTTCCCAATGTAACGGTTTGTCGTTTGGATTTTAGAACGAGTGAAATTCATTGGGCATTAACGTGATTGGCTAAATGTTGTAAATTCTCTCATCGTTCATTGGTTCTTCATCTTGACCATAGACTATAAACAAAATTTATCTATTGACAGAACGGAAACCAGACACGAATCTTCCAAAAAACATATCACGGAAACAAATGAATGTTTAAAAGTTAGAAAGATGGCAATTTGGACGAAATAAACATTGAAATAATTTTATCAATTTGAAAAGTAGCATTCACTTTTTGCAAAAACTATTTTTACATTTACTAACCAAAATTGATACGAAAGTCACCAATGGCAGCTGACCACTGTATCAAGAGTAACAGATAAGATGTATTGTACTTACGTACGATAAAAAGTATCAAAACGTTTTATTCCAATTTCCCCGGTATTGCTAGCGTCAATTTCGTTTTTCCCTTTTTGCCATCAGATTCTGGTAGACCTTTAACTACATAGCCGATCCTACGGACCATGTCGGAGTTTGAATATGTAAGCATGGCAGGCAGCATTTCACACATGTAAGGTTACAGATTTCGAATATTGGAATGCTTATTTAAATGTTTAAAACAAATAATTTTCTTCTCTTCAGTGATGACAATGACTTCTCATCTAGACACAACCGTGCTACATCTTTAGAGATTTATAAAATAAAATATTGTAATGGTGTATTAATGTACAAATACAATTACGGGTCGTATAGAGGGCAAGCGCGCCGTGGGCAGAACACCAGCCAAATGGTCAGACCTAGTAAGAGAAGTGGTAGTCTGTACCATTCGGTCCATGCCACCCATGATCGAATACAGTAGAAAAACGTCACATGTGGTCGCGATCCCCAGTAGTCCGGAAACGATATAGAAGAGAGAATAGTGTACAAAGTGTTTGAAATATAATTATACTAACAATGAAGCAGAGTGTTTATAAATAGCTCCTCACCTCCAGAACCCAATCCCCTCTAATTTAACCGTCCAACAAACCAAATGGTAAATAGTTGACGTCGCCCAAAGCACATCTCGGATCCTCCCGATCCACTAACGGTGCTTTTAGGTACCCCAAGTCGTTGAACTCGATTTGCGACGAAGGGCTCGGCGAGTAAATTAAACCACAGACACAGCCCACTGAATTTCTCACCGGATCTTCTCAGTGGGCCGCGTTTCCGATCAGGTAGTAGATTCTGCCAAGCACGGCTCTTGCTAGGATTCGTGTTAGCAACATCGTCAGGTTTGAGCCCCGTGAGCTCACCTACTAGCCTGGCGACGCTGACATGGTCTCTGTAGACCATCATTCAGCATAAATAGGGGAAAAAAAGAAAAAACGTATTAGTCTGTGAATGTATCGACAACCAAATATTAAGTGTATAATCTGAGCCAAAAGGTACACTAAGCAATAGCCGTAAACAGAAAAACTGAAAAAATAAATACGCACTGTGCAGTTCATAGATTATACATACACTTATTAAATTTGTGAGTGTAGTTGTAAGTAATTTTACAAACGCTTATTTAAGTTTATGAAATTGTGCTTGTTTTATGCGAGGTAGTAAAGTAAATTTTAAATATTGATAGCCACTGCCAGATCTTGTGATTTTATCGCTTACTGAAAACTGAATAACAACCCTAACCACGTTCTTGAAACTCTGTAAGTATCGAAATATATTAATAAACAAGCAGTTTTTTGCGACCTAATATAATTAAATTAATATTTTTAGTTATTGCTACAATGGTTCAGAAAGGGCCTCGTCCTCTGGTACTGTGCGGACCTTCAGGCTCAGGCAAGAGCACGTTGTTGAAGCGGCTGCTGAAAGAATTTCCCGACAAGTTTGGCTTCAGTGTCTCCCATACAACAAGAGCACCACGGGCTGGTGAAAAAAACGGAGTGCATTATCATTTCACTAACCTAAACGATATGTCAACTGCTATTGAAAAAGGTGAATTTATAGAAACTGCAATTTTCAGTGGAAACATTTATGGAACAAGGCAAGTAATTTTTTATTTAAATTGCATTTCGTTAAAGAAAGCTTATGAGATGGCCACGTGCTCTTTGTTTCAATGTTTTTATTGGCTTTGAGCCAAAATAAGAACATCAATGTTGTCATTCATTTTTGAAAACATTTTTAGACTTATTTTAGAATAAGAAATAAAATAAGATTAATATGCAACATTTCTTGACTTAACTAGAAAATTAAGCATTTTTCAACAGTGAAGAAGATTTATTATGTTTTTAAATCAAGAAAGAGAGTTAACACAAAGATCAGAAGAAAGACAAAACAAGAAATAGAGTTATTATGGCAAGATGAATAATATTCATTAAAAAAAACATTGACAATATTATTTCCCATGTACAAAAAGATAAAACTACAAAAGAATAAAAATAATAATTTGAAAGAACTTTTTTGTATAAAAATAGGGAATAGTCACAGTCATAGTTGCAATTCATCAATTATATTTTTAACAGTGGCAATGAGTTTAAAGTACATAAAAATAAAATACATTAATTTAAACTCATTAAATTAATATATTTTCATATATTAATTTATTCAAATTCAAGGATTATAACTCAATTAAATGAAATGTAATTTTCAACTATAAGTCACCTAAAATTTTAAAAAATAATTTCGGTTTCATATTTTTTCTACTTTATTTACTTACATTAACAAGGCTCCCATTGTTCAAGTTTTTTTTTCTCATAGTCTGAGATCTGTAGGGCATCCAGTCGGCTCTAAGATGCCGGCTGGCATTTGCGTTCCTTATTTCCCGGGTGAGCAGGAGAGAGAGAAGAAGTTAATGTGGGAGGGTAATTGAGAGGGGATGCAGCAAAGGCTTTGTGGCCTCCATCAGTGGGTCACGGCACTAAATCAGTAGTACGATTTTTTTGCATGGTTATTTTTGTTTATTTCTCTTTGTTCAAATGTTAACAGGAAGTAACATTTATTTTATTCAAATGGACTAGTATAAAATACTTTCTGGAAACATTTAGAGTTCGCACAAATATCAAGTTCCATAAAATCAAATTCTTTAATTACATATTAAAAGCAATAATAATAAGCATATTAAATTTAAAGGCTGTATGTACATACATTTACTCTTTCTACAGTATAATTTAGGATACAAAACTAAATTTTGATACAATAAATACCAGAACTTTCGAAAATCCAATTTGTACAATCAAATTTAAGACACCCTACCAATCGAATCTATACTTATATACTTACGAGGGCTGCACTAAAAGTATCGGGAATGGAATATTTCCACTGTTCCTGTCATATTAAAATCTTTTTAATTGAAAACTCCTTGGTTTTAAAAATCGAATACCATTTATTTCTTTTAAAAAAGATTCTCGGTCTTGTCACTAGGTTTTGTCAAACTTGTTTAGTCGTTGAGAAAGTGGAATTGACTCGAGAAAATTCAAGAGCGATGATTTATTATGACTTTCGAAGTGGTTTAACATGAAAACAGTGTGTTGACCGGATGATTTCTGCATTTGGTGATGAAGCCCCATCCAAAACCACAATTTATCGCTGGTTTGCTGAGTTTCAACGTGGACGTGTCAAGCTCAGTGATGATCCCCGTCAAGGTCGTCCAAAAACTGCAGTCACCCAAGAAAACGTTGATGCTGTGCGTAAGCTGATTGAGGAAGATCGACATGTGACATACCGCNTTTTTTTTTAAATCTTATTTTGTTTATAACAATCGCAATTTTTTATGTGCTAATAAGCCCTTAAAAAACATTTTTGTAGACATCATTCCGCATCCAATGAGCTATCGTACATATTTTTAGGAGCTTTATGTCTATTTAACACGTTTTTGAACTTGTTGACTAGACTATAGAGTTATTATGGCAAGATGAATAATATTCATTAAAAAAAACATTGACAATATTATTTCCCAGGTACAAAAAGATAAAACTATAGAAGAATAAAAATAATAATTTGAAAGAACTTTTTTGTTTAAAAATAGGGAATAGTCACAGTCATAGTTGCAATTCATCAATTATATTTTTAACAGTGGCAATGAGTTTGAAGTATTTAAAAATAAAATAATTTAATTTAAACTCATTAAATAAATATATTTTCATATATTAATTTATTCAAATTCAAGGATTATAACTCAATTAAATGAAATGTAATTTTCAACTATAAGTCACCTAAAATTTAAAAATAATAATTTCGGTTTCATATTTTTTCTACTTTATTTACTTACATTAACAAGGCTCCCATTGTTCAGGTTATTTTATCTCATAGTCCGAGATCTGTAGGGCATCCAGTCGGCTCTAAGATGCTGGCTGGCATTTGCGCTCCTTATTTCCCGGGTGAGCAGGAGAGAGAGAAAAAGTTAATGTGGGAGGGTAATTGAGAGGGGATGCAGCAAAGGCTTTGTGGCCTCCATCAGTGGGTCACGGCACTAAATCAGTAGTACGATTTTTTTGCATGGTTATTTTTGTTTATTTCTCTTTGTTCAAATGTTAACAGGAAGTAACATTTATTTTATTCAAATGTACTAGTATAAAATACTTTCTGGAAACATTTAGAGTTCGCACAAATATCAAGTTCCATAAAATCAAATTCTTTAATTACATATTAAAAGTAATAATAATAAGCATATTAAATTTAAAAGCTGTATGTACATACATTTACTCTTACTACAGTATAATTTAGGATACAAAACTAAATTTTGATACAATAAATACCAGAACTTTCGAAAATCCAATTTGTACAATCAAATTTGAGACACCCTACCAATCGAATCTATACTTATATACTTATCTATATATATAAATAAAATTGGAGTGTCTGTTTGTAATATTGAATTAACCGCTTTTTACTACATGCATATGAATATATATACGGTACATACACCAAAATAACATTTTTTACAATTTTTGTCTGTCTGTCTGTCTGTTTGTTCCGGCTAATCTCTGGAACGGCTGGACCGATTTTGACGAGACTTTCACTGATAGGTAGCTGATGATATAAGGAGTAACTTAGGCTACTTTTTTTTAGAATAGCTTCGCCTCGCGGCGTCACCCGCGATAGAACAATAACCGCGGGTAACATCGCGGGACTCAACTATCATCAATAATAAAATTTAATGTTTCCGAAGCGAAGCGAGGGCGGGTCGCTAGTATATTAATTAATATAAAAATATATGTCTAAATATCCCTTTATTAAATTTATTGAAGTCGAAGCCCAAGTCTGGTCCAACAGTAGATAACTGTGGGCTGATTATAATGATGATAATGCTCCTTTATTCCTAAAATGTTTATTTCTTCGTCTGTCTGGTGTATGGATGACAGAGTACAGACTACGGCAATTTTGGAATACAAAATATTCTGTATGTTTAGAACATAATATGCTACACAATAGAAAGTTTCTTTTACGAAAAAATTTGCACTTGAAAATTTACCTAAAAATTTGTGATTTCCAGCAAGAAAGCAGTAGATGATGTACGTCGTACTGGCAAAATATGTGTACTGGATATTGAAATGGAAGGGGTGAAGCAAATCAAACGCACAGACCTGGATCCCCTGTTGGTCTTTGTGATGCCACCATCTATAGATGAACTGGAACGAAGACTCCGCGCCCGTAATACGGAACAAGAAGATAGCTTGAAAAAGAGATTGGAAACGGCACGAAGAGAGATTAAATTTGGTAAAATTTATACATTATTTTATAACTTTTACGTAAAGTTACATATACCACGAGTATTCATCTAGTGGTCGATATTATTCGACCATAATCAGATGCATCAAGATTCTATGCATTACAATTTAACACCCTCTATTAGCTTGTCCTATATCTACCTATTTACATATTAAATAAATCATTCATCATAATTTTCATCAACATCAATATCTTTGATTTAATTGAAAATATTGACGCAAATCACAAAGACCGATGATAATACAAAAATTATTATTACTTTAAGATAACATAATGATTGAAAAAAAACTATATATTTAAATTTCGACTTGCTATTTGAGCCTTTTTCATTTTTAAACTAAATTTATCTAGTAAGCTAATATAGTAATACAGGGGCCTGGCTCTGCCCCTGACATTGCCGAAGTCCATGGGCGACGGAAACCACTCACCATCAGATGGGCCGTATGCTCGTCGACCTACAAGGGCAGTAAAAAAAATATGTATTTAATATAATGTACTTTAATGCCTGTTTTTTGATATCCAAAAAAATTTTGTTTTATATTCATTTCTTGTTGGACTTTTCTTATTAATATAAAACGTACATCAAATTAATTCCATATCATGTTGTTTGTTTTTCGCACCATATTTGAACTTTGACTTCTGAATTAAAAACAGTATCACTTATCTCCAATCAAACATAGAACTTACATCCCAGTGTCGTAATAAAATAATTATTTTATAAATTAAAAGATGTTATGTTGAAAACACAGGTCAAGAACCGGGAAACTTCAATATCATCATTTTGAATGATAATTTGGACAAAGCCTATAATGAGCTGCGTGATTTTATTACACAAAATATTGAAGACAATGATCAAGGTAAGATCAACACAATGTATCAGCAATGAAAAATGTTTAAGTTATTGTTGTTCTGGACTTCAACTAATTCCATGTAAAGTGACCTTCTCCTACACCTTGCTTAATAATCAAGGACCCAATGCTATCCGATATAGTGTTTTATAAATCAGCACATAATTATCAGTGCTTGTAAATAATTTGTTGCAATAAAACAGACGGTCAATACAATTTAACGTCACGAAAACTTGGAAGAGGATTTTTTATCCATCGGAATTTTTTTTTTTTATCTCAAAATGTTCGAAATATAAAAGCAAACCAATTTTGATTATTAATTCTAACAAATTTGTTTGGAATTCCATTTTTATAATTTTAAGTTGCTTAGTTAAGTGTAGTCGAAAATAGACTAAAAGCAAATTTTACATAAAAAACACCTTGTATAAAAAATATTAAAAAAGCCAGTATGATATATATCCAGTCAGAATGAATTATCTTCATTATAATACAATTTTATCACAAATTGAGTTACCGAACTGTGGCTTGGTCTTAAACGATATTAAGCTAATATTTTTATAATTTCGTAAGGGATATTTCAAAAACTGTTCTCTTTTTAGGACTTTTAAATATTATTTTTATGTGTACATTTTTAAAGTTTTTCAACGTTCCTTCCGTTTCGAGAGAGTGAGAGTTTTTGTCGCATTTAAATGCATAATATATTATGTTTCTGCTCTGTTACATTGATATAACAGCCGAATGCGAGGCTTTTAAACAATGTTGACTAAAATAAATAATTGTATTTTTTGCAAGGTGCATGGTGATTTTTTTTATCGTTTATTTGGATCGCATGTTTTTTTTTATTGTATTGATGGGTGGACGAGCTCACAGCCCACCTGGTTTTAAGTGGTTACTGGAGCCCATAGACATCTAAAACGTAAATGCGCCAACCCCCTTGAGATATAAGTTCTAAGGTCTCAGTATAGTGTATAGTTACAACAGCTACCCCACCCTTCAAACAGAAACGCATTACTGCTTCACGGCAGAAATAGGCGGGGTGGTGGTACCCACCCGTGCGGATTCACAAGAGGTCCTACTACCAGTAATAAAGATGTGCGTAGTTAGGACGCACAAAGACTTCTGGCAAAGCGTCAGAAGTTGATCATTTTAAAGTCTATAAAAACTTCCCAAACCTACAGGCTTTAGTTCTTCACTAACTCTTAGGTTATTGATCAATGCATCCGAATCTAATCTCATTTTTAATTTTGTGTATTTAAAAAACTTTGTGTATCATAATGTTCATCATAATACGAATCTGTTAATGTTCAAATTTATACTAATAGAACTGACAAAATGGACACCATAGACAAAAATCTGAGTAGGCTGGCTTGTTATACTTGATTTTTTTTGTATAAATTTTGATCTTCAAATTAATTATGTAAAATAACAAAACAAAACCATTGTGTATATGGAAATTAATGAAACGTGATGACATGCTTTGTTGTGGGTCACTAACTACTTTATTGCTAACGTTTTGCAGATGACACCAATGAGAAAACTACAGACAAGAAGTGAACACTGCATGGAGCATGATCTTTACTTAATTAACTGCTATTTAGAAATTGGTGTTAGATGATGTTGTAGATTAGAATTTATGTGAACCTTAATAATCTAAAAAATAATTTATTGATCAATTTGATGATTTAAAATTTAAAATTAATATAGTAATGTAGTGTGACGTAATGCCCCAAAAATAGAATAAGTCAACTGGACAGGAATGTTCTGAAACTACCTCCTTATAATATTACAATCTTTAAATATAATAGTCAATTTATATAATAGTTCATTTAAGAATGTAGCCTGATCATTGCGCCACCATATCATATTTAAATGAAATGGATAAAAACATGCATAATAAAGAAAAGGGCGGAATATAATAAAAAAACTTAACAAAGCAAATCTTACAATTTGTGCCATTAACCTTGGAGTTCATTCGCTGTATTGTGAGTGAGAATAATAATTTACCTAATTTGATATTAATAAAATTATCTCTTAAAACCTAAAATAATAAAGTTTCAATAAATAATCTGTTTAATGTTGCCAGAATGTTTTATAACTGCACATTAAGAAAGTAACAAATCGTCTTGATCTGGGGCTTAAGGTCTTCTACAAAACAAGCATATTCTCAGAGACGTGCAGACTGGAATATCCTACGCAATCGTGGTATCACAAGAATGATCACCTTTAAACCTTTCATCTATCGCCGTCATAAAAAAGTCCATAAATGGTGATAATAAACAAGTAGAAGGCAACATTCGTATGATTGCAACAAGAAAAGTAGCTGGTATTTTCGCCTTGCTTATTGGAAGAACTCTAGAACTTAGCACAGGATTTTGTGGCGCACTCATAAAACCATGAAAAACACCTAAAAAATTTAATTTGTAAACGTGTCACAATTCAACAATAGAATGTTCTTACATTATTGTTTCACTTTCTATAAAGTTTAAATTTATTGTCACAGTACCACCAGGCTGGTTTGCATTTTCATTAGTTTTATTGTTAAGCAATTTATATATATAAATGATATCTGTTCACTCAGATACAAAAAAAACCTTTAATCCACAGATTAGTTTACTGTGTTTTTGTTTAAAGATATTAAATATCGAAATAGTAGTACTTTAAATAGAAGTGTACCATCATGTTGTTTTAAGTATTAGATATTATAATTATATACAATTGTTTGGTTATTTAAGGTTTGGCCTGCTATAAATGTTGATTTATTGACTTAACGATTGCTTACTGTACTCTTATAGACTTATCAACTCTTTTTTCCCATCGCGCCGGAAGCCCATCCCAACTATCCAAACCCACTGCTGGCTGTTGCCACCCTAGGTCTCGAATGAACTCCCCTAAACATATTTTCCTGTGCAGTATGTCAAGTCATTCTTTGAAGGGTTCCCAACGATAGGCAACAGCTTGATTGTCTCTCACTGTCACTCACTCCTCTCTGTTGCTGAGTATGAGCGACAGTGGCCACTCACCACAAAATGGGCCACATACTCGAAAAAAAACCTGAACAAGTGCCAAATTCCCGAGTATTTAATAATAGTATTTATTGAATATTGATGCAAAACCATTGTTTTTCTTAATATTTTATGTATTCAGAATTTAGCATCAATATCAAAAAAGTTCAGTACTTAGAAAATATAGAATTAAGGTTATGAAATGTGAACATATTGCATAATATTATTCTTGTAAACGCTAATATGTAATCTTCGTAGAATTTTAGCTATTTATGAATTATTATATCACGCTGATATTTGTGCATTTTGTGTATTTAAAATGCTTGTTATTCTAATCAACATCAAGTCGCCTCCATTTCGGTGTTTATTTTAAAAACCATTCCATTGTAATCTTCGCGAAAGTATACTTGTATATTACTAAGACTTGTGATTGCTAAGATTTTTTTAAATTAGTTTCTGCAGTGTTATTAGCTGTAAAAAAATTTAAACCATAGTAATTACAAGTAAATGTTATAAAAAAATTGTGGTGTTTAATTTTTTTATACTTCAATGTTTTACTCATTTGCCTAAAGGTGAGGAAGGGACGTCCTAAAAAGACTTGGACGAACTGTGTGAAAGAGGATATGCGAAAGGATGAAACAGCAGGGATGACGTATGATAGGAATTGGATTAAGAGGACATGCGGCGCCAACCCTACGTAGTGGGATAAGGGCAAGAGGGGTGAACAAAATGGGAAAAAAGGTGTTTAGTAGTAGAATGCTATAACGTATCTTGAGATACCTTCCACCCTTCAAACCGGAACGCAGAGCAGTCTCGGAGAAGACAAGTACATAGGTTAGTAAAACCTACCTACGGGCTAACAAAACTTAGGAGTATTTATTAAGCTTCATAAACTTTTTTGAATTTCATGACTATCTTGAACCAAATCACCTCAGCAGATACAGGCAAAAAATTAAAGGTAAATAATGCAAGGCGAACCAAGTAGGTTGTCGTCCAATTTGTCGTTTTTAACCTTTTCTTAACTTAATATATTTTATTATGTGTGGAATCGTCTTCTCAGGCCATAGCTATTAGTAGGAGGATATGATTACCCCAAATGGGTAGGTACTTCTACCTGTTTCTACCTCGAAGCAGAAAAATTTCAGTTTTGCTGAAGTCCATGGGCGACGGTAACCACTCACCATCCGTGAGCCGGTGGGCCGTATGCTCGTTTGCCTAGAAGGGCAAAGGATGGATAATGATTATACAATAAGAATAAACAAGGACATTGTTAGACATGCATATGGTTGGCATACTTATTAACAGACAAAGTATCTGAGATTTCAAACTCATTTATGTATTTAGGTGGATGCTGAAATAATGTGATGTGCAACAGATCAACAATGGGAGTGTCAACCCAAAAACAAAAAAAAACTATAAAAATATTGGGCAAAGTAAACAAAAACCCCATTAGATTATTTATTCATAGTCATATCAAATTACTACGCGTTTTATAGTTTTACCTTCTATAGATGTATTGTAAATATTATAACTGAATTGTCAAAAATATAGTTAACAAAAGATAATAAACTAAATTTCCTCTTGCAAGCAGTATCGTACTATCCCCTTAAAATTACCGCACAGTACAAAAGCAGTATAGCAGCAAATTAGTTTAATATCTATTGGAACAAAATAATTATTAAAAAGGTATAAACCATATTCACTATTTGTATATTGTAATCATTTCTTTAGTAGGATGCAAATTGAAATTATGTCAATATTTCATAGTACAACACTGCTATCTTTATCCCATCTATCACGATGTGAGTGTGGTGGTGTATTTTCACAGTCACCACTAATGATGGATGCTTTTGAAATATTTTTCAAAGATATACTACTACCTGCTGGCAGTATTTTAGACTGTTTTGATAAAGACTTCAGTCTTGGAATATGAGAAATTTTTTTACAATGCTTTATGTCACTTCCTTTTGGATCAAAAACTGTGTTTGCTGATTTTGATCTTGTATGACCGGTATCTGCTTTGTTTTTCATACATGATAATGGTGTTCTCGAACCATCATTACTGGAAGATTTTGACTTTTTTGGAGTATTTTGTAAGTCTGTAGACTCATCCTCATAAACCAATAATCCATCTGAATTTGTTTGTGCTTCTACACCATGTCCAATTTCCACATTACTCTTTTGCAAAACTTTCAGAAGGGTATCATCAGACATTTCTTCGACATTGTCCACACTGTCATTGTCATCTATTTTAGGCACAACTAATGGAGTCCTTTCAATTCCTATAGAAGGAGAGCGAGGATCATATTCCAAAATTTTAAATACTGGCATACATTGTTCTCTACTATCATTGACTTCGGTGGAATATGGATTTGACATGCTGTTTCTCTTACTATTAAATTCTATATCACAAACTTCATTACAATCAAAGTTAGTTTCTAACAGCTTGGTTGGTTTATTCTCATTAGACTTGTTGGCTTCCAGGGTTTCTTTGGAGGCAGTTGATGAGCCCAGTGGTTCTTCATTATCTTGAAGGGTATCATTGAAAGTCGAGTCCAAAAACCCGTTACACAAATTTTTTGGAGCAATCAAATCAGGACTGAATTCTTTTGCTTCCATATATGTTTCACAACTATTATCTTTATCTTTACTAGTAACAGGACTTGCACAACTATCACTTATTAGTCTTAAATTTTCAGTGTCATTTGTCAAATCATTAATTTTCGAAGATATAATAATTGGAGTTCGTTCAAAATCTTGAGTTGGAGATCGGGGATCATATGATTGTAAATGGTTTTTTATAACAGCAGATAGAATGGGGTTATTGTGTATCAATTTTTCATCTCCGTTTGTAGATTCAAACGTCTTTCTGAGGTCTATATTTTTTGTTATGTTATGTTTAGCGCCATTTTTTCCCTAAAAAATATTTTTATACATTGACTTATACTAATTAATTTCTATTAAGTATATTAATTAATTTCTTTTTAATTTCACAAAATCGCTACTGTTTAAGATTATAGTTTTCAGGATATAAAGTTAAATTGCGTACTATATTTACATGGTATGTACATTCGTTGCGTGTTCTTGGATTAGGTCTATTTTTAAATAACACGCTTAGATGAATCAATCGGAGAAAACTTACTTGCAAAGGAGTCCGTGTTATTTCAGGTGTTGGAGATCGAGGGTCCGAGTTACCAAGTTCTAATTCAGTTTTTAGTACCAAAGAGGTGTCGGTTGGTTTACTTGAATTACTTCCCATTTTATTATTAATATCGTCTAATAAAGAGCTTCAGAAATAACTTGTGTAATTATACTACATCCAATGAAACATAATTAATTATTCTAGTAATAAAATAACATTTTACGACTGTTACAAATAAAATCTCAAAAACATTTAACGGCCGCTAATGTCAAATGCAGTTCGAATTTTAAAACACTAATAAAATAATACATTATTGCCAGACAGAAAAAGAGGTACCCATATTGCCTAAAATTAAACTGCATAGATTATAGAGGTCATCCAAAACTTTTCTAAGCCTGTTCTTAAATACTACAGAAACTTAAAGCGTTATTATCTAAACTTAACGGATATGAACTGCCTCGAACAACAAAATTCTTAATCAAACCGTGGTCTTAATTTAATGCCAAGCCATTTTTCATCTTTTATTTACTGAAATCTAATTTCATTTTCTCTCACATACAATGATATCTCATCTTACCTGGTTTCATTTTAGTAAAAAAATAATATATTTTAATTGAGAACAATAATTATAGAATTCAGACATGGCTACAACCCTTTTCCGTGAAGTTTGGCTGTATGAACAAAATTTATTTTGCCTGTCAAATAGACGAATCAGACTAGCCGACTTTCTGGCGGGAACGCGAGGAGCAGCCCTTTAATTTGTTGGATTTGTTAATTTGGTGCTTATTAACGTTTAATATATTTAGTTTTTTAATTATTAATTTAGTTTATTAACTGTTGAGTATCTTTGAAAGTGCATAATTGTGAAACGTGTGTGGAAAATGAAATAGAGCCGCTGGACATGATTTCTTCGTTTCATCTATGGAGGGTAGAGGTAAGGAGACTCGTTTCTGTGTGAAAAAGTGTCCGTTAAAATCTGCTATTAATTACAGTGTCGCTACCTAACTACTCTAGTCATTAAATATATTAAATTTCCCAACTCAGCATATGTACTGCAATCAGATAACAACTGCTCAATTCATATCATACCCTGTGCCTATGCTTGCGCCATTCTGGAGGATTTTTGAACTGATATTTAGTGCTGAAAGTAGGACACTTTTTCAATCTTCTCCCATATGAGACCGTTCTCCTTACCTCTACCCTCCATAGTAAATAACAACCACTTTACTGAGACTATTTCATTTCATCTCATCTCATTCTATTCCATGATTTTTGGAGGAGGATTTCATCCCAACTGATTACGGTGTCATATAAATCAACTTCATCTCATTTCGTATCATCCTCCATATCATTTTTCATAAAACGGAATATGTTAGTATAGATTGAAGTGAAAATTCTTTGCGCCCATGAGGGTAACATTTTTACGGATGAAACGCAATAATTTAATAATAATATTAGTGACACGAAAATGTAGGACGTTGTTATCCAAGAAGAAGGGGAGATCGACCGAGACCGATTGAGAGTGAGAGAGAAAGGGAGATCGAGACAAAATACACGCTATTGGTTGATGTATTCATTTAGTAGTTAAATACGTGTTAAATACTAGGGCAATTCTGTCGCATAACAGCTTGTAAACGCAGATCTTTTCTATTTATTTATATATTATCATTAGCATGTATAGACAGTGTAAACAGTGAGTTAAATTTATATATAAACAATTTGTGATAAATTTGTAAATGATCCTATACTAAACAGTTGTTCAGAGTAAGAATTTAATTGTTATCTTTTTGTTAATTTACAATTTTTTATGTTAATTTGTTTGAAGGTTAGGAAATTTTAATATTTACACAACTAAATAGCATGTGGCCTTTTAATTTGCCACTCGTCATTTGAGAATTTAATATACTATTTTTCATAAAACATAAAATTAAAAAAAATCTCATAAATTCTCTTTTCTAAACGTTTATTTCAAAAAAATATTTAATTAATAATTTCTAATGCTGACAAAAACACGTGGAATTTTAATTTAATATTCATCATCTGAAATTTTACCATAATTATAACGCACGCACTTATTTAAATATTCTTTATTGCAAAAATGGGTGAACGAACCCACCTGGTTTTAAGAGATCACCGCAGCCCATATTCATGAACCTCGTCAATGCCACTGCCTATTTTGAGAGATTAGTTCTAATTCTCCGCTTTTGCAGTACAACGGCTGCCCCACCCTTCAAACCAAAACGAATTACTGCTTCACGGCAGAAATAGGCAGGGAGGTGTTACCCATCTGTGCGGGCTCATAAGATGTCCTGCCGCCAGTAAATATATATAATAATACCTAGTAATAATATAAAAATGGAAAATTTTGATAAACTCGATACTGGCAACAATAGCATCGTAAAAGCCATACTGAAAAAAAGAAGAAGAACCACCGATCTACATTTATGTTTAATAATTTATTAAGTGTATTATCAATGGGTTATTATTATATGCCAATATTTCAGTATGCCAATAAGTTTATTACCTATGATGCTGGTGTTGAACTCCTAACCCAAGACGTTTGAGTTGCCGCTAATCCTAATCTCACGGATCGTTTTTAATGTATTAAAAAACAATACGGAGGGACTGGTTTCCTTTGTTTTATTACCGTATGGATCCACTTAGAGTGCGTACTTGTAGCACTCATCGAAAGTGCGTTTCCAGAGATATTTTTTGTGAAGGTTCTGAAATCCAATCAGCCATAGTTTTTCTTGGACACTCAAGTGAGTTGTCCTTTTGCAAATAACGTTTCAAAAGAGTCCCTACAGGTAAGACAGCTTCTCAAACAATGGCTATCATTTCAAACTCACGGTTGCTCCGTGGCAGGGAATGAAATGATATAGTGCCTACCGACTACCGTGGATATGGAACGCTTAGTATAACTTTCATTTAAACACACTTCATTTTAAAATCATAGCTTACCTACGTGTTGATATTAACTTAATGTCATGTTCTTGGGGAATATTACTCAATAATATCGCAATTTAACAAATCACTCACATAAATATACATATGTAATCTATACTTAATATTATAAAGAGGAAAGATTTGTTTGTTTGTATTGAATAGGCTCCGAAACTACTGAACCGATTTGAAAAATTCTTTCACTGTTTGGAAGTTACACTATTCCTGAGTGACATAGGGTATAATTTTTTTTTTTAAAAATTGGGGAAATAATAAAACTCCAATAATGTAACCCAAGGTGTAAAAAATTACATAAAATATTCTTTACATCGCGCGCCCTGCGAAAACTATTGATGATGGAATAAAATAATGTACAACGACTTTTCAAAAAGTGTCGCGACAGCATATGTCTAACTATTATAGTTATACCGCAATGTGTTCTTTCATTTAAAAAAATGAAACAACGTCAAATATCATTGAAATTTTTGTTAAAGACCCGAGCGGAGCCGAAGCGGGCCGCCAGTATATAATAAATAGATATATCTTTTAACTAGTATTTATCGTTTTCTGTTCTTGTTCTGACATGACAGTTCATGCGTCCAACTACCACGATGACATTTTGTTACAGAATGAGAGCTTTTACGCCATCCTTTGTCACATTTTAATTTACATGTCGATCCCCCCTTGAGACCTCGGCCGCTTGATACTGTTGCTCCATTGCAGCTGATGCGGCCGTGAGATGGTGGAAACGGCGGTTTACACCATGAACGAACTAAAAATAAAGCATCACTTATTCAGCTGTACCGATTCAAATTCATCGATTTTAGATCCATCAATTTATCAAAAAAAATTGTTAATGTCATTTAAATTTCGGAATAAGGTTTGTACCTGACTTCCGCAGGAAGTTGGTTTCGATGGTATCTACATTTGTACACATATATTATATCCGCTTCCTTACATTTTAATCATAAACTTAAGCATTATAATGAATTTCAACATACTTATGAAGTGTAATATTATAATACTCGTATTAGTATTTATTTTAGTATAGTGTGTGCAAAAAAAGAATAATAATATTATTTGAAATGAAATAAAATGAAATGATTATTAAATGAAACTAAAACCCACTTCCATTAAAAAAATTCTAACTAAAAATAAAAAACCATGTTTCCGCTTAGACACCGCTAATTGAACGATTAGGTTCCAAATCTTCATTTTAATTGAATAATTTATTGTTCATCAAAAGTACAATCTTTTCAAAATACTTGATGTTGAAAGATAAAACAAAAAGTACACGAATTAAATATATGTAATAATATTTGAAAAAAAAATGCTTAAGCGCCTGTATCTTTTTAAAATCTTGTAGGTACTGTTATTTCTTTCGCGGTCTCTATGGGTTCGGATAACCTGGTGGCTATGGGATCACTTACAAATCTGCGTTACTCATCTCTGAAGAGTAGCTATAGTACGTTAGTCTTGTAAATTGTAGGTATAAGTAGCCATAGATCTACATACGTACCATTACAAGAAGGCAAATGGCCATTCCATTTCAAATCATCACGACATGTGAGACTATTAGCACCGGTAGGCTCAGTAGTGGGATCACGACACGTAAAACTGCACGTTCTATTTTGGTTTCTGTCGCAGTTTATATTTAAATATTTTGGAACTTGACAAAACTGAGTCACCACGTGAATTTGCACTTTACAAGCCCTCAATATCTAGAACAACATTTATTTATTTATTTCAGTGTTTAAATTTTTTACTTAATCCTTATTTATTGCAAAACGGAACACTAACTTGATTTTGGTACACGATATGACCGATCATAATGTGTACACCGCTTTCTATTAAAGTACCAAGCTTAGGTCCGTACTTGGTAACGAATTTAAAATCTCGAGGTGCTTTTCTTCCGGAACATGTCTGTAAGCGAGGAGGCTGCAACATCACTCTACTGACGCCAACCTTAGCAATCAACGTTCTATCTCGCGGACACTTGATGCAGCTGATGTCTGAAATTACAGTAATCATGACAATATTGATGAAAACCATATCTGTAAAGTATAGTAGAGTTACGATACAGATTTTTTTTGCGAATCAAGTTCGTGTTTATTATTTTCTTTCAGTTGATTCTTTGTGTTTAAGAATCGTAAATGGCAACAAATAATGTGTCGGTAGTTAGTGCCATCCGCAAAGGTCGAATAAGATTTTAATCGTCCGGACCACAAAGACTGAAGTATTAGAAACGTCGGAAATAACAAACATAAAAATAATAGTAATGCAAATTAAAACGTGAAAATTTGATATGATTATGATGATGATTATTATGATTACAAAAACCGTAGGAAATACTAGATTGTGAAGACATTTAAATTACTTACCGTGGGGAATTTCGTTTATTGTTCTTGTTTTTATCCGAATAGGCTTCGCGAAACCGTCCCTTCCACCACCAGTTCTAACAACCGCTCGTCCCAAATAAGTTGATGATAGTTCTGGGCTTAAATTTTTCCTATTAACTTCTTGAAGATATAAATCAGATTGATAGAAGAGGCGTGGGTCTTCTCGTGGCTTGTGGATTTTGATCGGCGCCTTCGTAGCGGCAGTCGTTGGGGTATTGTATAAAAATTGCATCGTCGCATGTTGTCTGGCGAACCCACGGCTACCAACGTCATGATCATACTTTCTACGATAGCGATCGATATCTAAAACTGATCGACGAGTTTGAAAACTGGATGAAGTTCTGTGACGGAAATCTTCTTTTGGCAAGAGTTTTATTCTGAAAGCATTTTTTTTAAATCATAACAAAGTTTAAATGTTAAACAAATTTCAGATTAATTTATTATCGCAGAGTTCTACTTTTCCATAACGAGGGATCTGAATGTAACACAGTTGTTACAAGAATGTAATAATGCTTTTGACCTATTTTGATGATTGAAATACCTAGTTTCGTTAGATATGGTAGTCCGCTTAAACCCCTATGACGTAGAACTGGTATTTTCGTTGTAAACACACTTTACTCAAATATTTTGATAGGAATTTAACAACACTTGGATATTTGCAGTTAAAAATGTGGCGTAGTCTGATGCTGCTTACTCGGTTTACGGAATATAACTGAGTCAGTGGGCACAAAATATTTTAATTTAGAAATGATGAAACTATCGGCAATCCTGCACATATGGTGTCGTGCCAAAATATTTTGCGTCAACGTACTAACCTGTTGATGTCTATGTCCGGCTGACGGGCTCCGAGAGTTCCTACGAAAACATAAAAACTAAAGTAGACATTTTAACAATATTATGACTAGACACTGAAAAATAAAGAAGTATTACGAAAATCAAATATTAACTTGTGATTTTTATTGTTATATATGATTAAAAAAGCAAATATTTCATTAAGAATTGGCTTGTCAGGTCGGCCTAAGATAGTACCACTCCATCTCTTCCTGTATGAGGAAATGTACTAAGAACATGTACTAAGAAATTTACCTCTGGGCATCAGCATTCTCTAAATTATACAAACGTACCTCGCCAAATTGAAGATCATAGATCTTAATTAGGTTTGATTTTAATAAATCCATTAGACATGCTAACATTAGGCAATGCCTTTTTTTAAATTCTTTCACTGTCTGCAGAAATACTGTAGTTCAATAATTAAATCTTTGGGTTTGACAAAACCATCACTTTTGATTATTCAACTTATTTCTTCAATATTATTTGACAAAGCAACCAAGTCGCAGGGCATTGTCATATAACATATGTTTCTCTTCTTTATAAGTATGTATATTTATAAAAGGACCCTGAAGGAGGAGGCACTCGTCGCTAATTATTATTGGCGACGTAATCAAAGTGAGCCACGTCCCTGCTTTAACATTTTTTAAGCTCGGAAAGTCAAATCCCGGCTGCATCGTCATCCTTCTAGCTCTTACCCCAAATGCTTTAAGTCCTCTCACTTTCCAGATTGAGAACAAGGAAGAAATGCTCAAGAAAGCCACGTGTACCTAAGTGGTTGCATAAAATACTGACGCGCATTGCTATGCGGATGAGGCACGGAAAATGCGCAGAAATAGGCCAGTAGAGTTGCTTTCGGATCACGATTGATGTGAAAGAATAGTCTTAAGTGGAAAAACGGGACGTATGGTATCCGAATGGGTTGATTTATTTAGATTCAACCTATTGAAGACACTGATTTGTGAATAAGAACATTTGTCATAGTACTGCATTTATAAGACATATGACATAAACTTCAGAGAGCTCCAACGAAATCATTACGTGACTGCTGCCACTCAACTTGAGATATAAAGTCAAAATTCCCTCAAGTCCTGAATAATTCACGGATTCGCTAAAAGTAAAGACATGCCGTAATCTAAAGTGTTTCATCCACTATTTCTAGGGTGAAAGAACAATAACACGAAACGCTCCACCACCAATAATTGTTCAAATTATTCTGCGTTTCAAAATTATATTATACGATGATATAATAGGTACATTATAATATGGCTTCAAATATTTCATAATTTAATACTTTAGCAGACTTGCTGACAATATGTATTTTCTATGCTTGCCAAGGTCCAAAACGGTAAAATTTAAAAAAATTGTTCAAAGCTAACTCTAAAAACAAATATTAAATTTATTTATTTATACACAGATTATTTATTTTGTTCAAACATTTATTTATTTTGATTATTTATTTTGTTTGTTGTTGTGTTTGATTCAATACAGCAACGGTATATGGCATTACGGCATTACTTTGTGCACTCTATTATAATATTATAATGATTTTTATTAGAAACTTATGAACAGGATAAGTGGTTGCGTCTTTTGATTTTGCATTAAAATAGCATGCAGCTGACAGCATGTACCATTAACTTACAATTAATGCGCCACATCAAAGGCGTGATGTCATGTCTATTTAAAAAGGTCTTCGTAATCTCATAGATCTTATAACTTTATTTACTAGACTATTCGAACTAGAAAAATATTTGTATTCCTACATGACTAGAGTAAAACAGAAAACGTCAAACACATTATTAAGCTCGTAATTTTTTGTGAAGTAAATGGTATTGTCTTCCCACTTGTACTTGTATATCTTCAATATTAGTTCCGTTCTAATTCGATTTTTCTTTTCTTACGCACTCAACTCGAGCAGCTGAGGACCGGACGAGATGGAAACAGCTCACGAGACAGGCAACGGTCAAGTTTCAGGGACATGACCTTCAGCAATGAAGAAAGCGACGAAGAAGAAGACGCACTCAACAAAAACAAAATGTTGTATAATTTAAGTAAGGGATACTGCGTAAGGTCTTCAAGTCATGGCTTTATAACTGATTCCTAATAATAGGGGTTAAACTATGAAATTGCCATTCTATTGTAATAGGTAGGTACTTCGAATTGATATAGAACCTTCGTGGTTTGTGTGTAACTTTATCCAAATGGTACCTGAGGTTCTTCTTTTAAAAAATGTGCAACATTCGATTGTCCACTTTTACCTAGTTGTTTTTTTTATTCAGTTTAGACAAGAAAGATGGATACTTCGAAAATTCGAGTGATTTTTTAATAGGAGTTACGACGCGGAAGTAACGCTGCAGAAACAGCTCGCAATATCAATGTTGCGTTTGGGGAGGGGACTGCTAATAAACGCACCGTGCGATTTTGGTATAAACGGTTTCGTGATGGAAATTTAGATTTGAAGAACGAACCACGTGGAAAACCGCCCACACTTGTGAATAGCAATGAATTGAAAGAGACGGTGGAAGCCGACCCGAGCCAAACTACCAAGGAATTAGCGGCATGGCTTAACGTTACCTTACCAACAATATTGACTCATTTTCGTCAAATCAATATAAAATATGAAAAATGGGTGCCTCATAATTTGACTGATCTGCAGAAAGAAACACGTGTTGAAGCTTGTGTTGCCTTGTTGAATCGATACAGAAATGAAGGAATATTGGATCGAATTGTGACATGTTATGAAAAGTGGATTCTTTACGATAACCGTAAGCGAAAAATGCAATGGCTAACCCCAGGTCAAATGCCGCAACAGTGGCCTAAAGCAAAGCTTACCAATAAAAAAGTAATGGTAACTGTTTGGTGGTCTCAGCATGGTGTTATTCACTATAACTTTCTCCGATCTGGTCAAGCAATAACGGCAGGTGTAATGATAGCAATACTTGCATTGAAACAGCCCCGACTCATGAATCGATCTTCACTATTATTGCTCAATGATAGCGCGAGACTCATACAGCACGAGAAACCGTTTTAACTCTACAGGAACTGCAATTAGAAACCATTCCTCACCCTCCGTATTCACCAGACCTTGCTCCAACGGACTACCATTTTTTTTTCGTGATTTGGACAATTTTCTACGTGATAAAAAGTTTTCTTCCCAGGATGAGGATGTAAAGCCGCCGTCGCCCACAACATGTCTTATCAGATCCCCTGAATTCACTCTGAGTACTTTTAGGCTCTTCAAGCACCCATTATTACCCCCTCATCGAACTCGTCTAAGCGAACTAACCCATAGACAAAACAAGTTGAGTTTCTCGCCGGTTCTTCTCAGAGGTCGCGATTCCGATCCGCTGGTAGACTTTTCAAAGAATTGCTCTTGCTAAGGCGTGTTAGCATATTCTATGAGGTTGAGCCCTTTGAACGTTGGTGTAACCAGCCATGGTGTAACTGGAATAGTCCCATAGACTACTAGCGAATAGGCAGAGGGAAAAATTCCCAGTTTAGCGTAGCATGATCATTTTCAAGACCTGGTTGAGGTTTGTATTGGTTTATTATTGTTTATGGTTTATGCTTATTATATATGTATGTTAATCTCTTAATATTGCGATTGATTTTCCATGATAAATACGATAACAGCAGAAACTGGTGCCTACGCCAGGGTTAACCTTCACCGTTAATAAATCTAAATTATTATTATACACAAGAAGGTGCAGTGATAACTAATCGAACTGGCTCTTTACCAAAACTCTGTGCTACTAAATTCTGGCGTTTTCAGAAGCATAATACTCCTTTTTCATTTCTTTTCGAAAACGCATTTCAATGTGGTAGCTTTGTCGCAATTAATGTATTTTTTTCGCCATTAATATTTAAAATCTCACTGCAATTTTGATTTTTTTATTTCTCGTCTATAAAAGAAGAATATTAGCAGTGACATTTAGGTTTTACATAGATAACAAATAACTTTCCTATGTAAATTTAAGCGTTTTGAAATAATGGTGAATTAATATCGAAAATAGCCTTGTTATATTCTACAAAGCTGTGTATTTGTCTAATATGTGTCTTTGTATATGTTTGTTTGTATGTAACAGAATCTTTGAACGTCATTTAAACGGACTTCAAGAATGTCCGAATAACTTGACAATATTCACATGCATATATAGGACCGATAGCAGTGCAATCATTTTATTCAGTTCTAATATCAGACCTGTATCAACAGGTACAAAATATGAAATTATTGATTCGAGATATTTAAGGACGTTTTTTTAGTTTTTAAATTATTATAGATATATTTAATAATAGGTTTTGGATTGATCGCCACTGGTTGGTACAACCACGGATTTCAGGTTATAAACCAAACCCTTGTTCTAGTACAATTGATACTTCAGCACTTACAATCAAACACTTGTTGAATAGAAATGCAGTAAAATAAATTGTTAACTGTATGTAGTTGCTTCTATAATATCACTAGTGTAAACTGCAAACTACCAATTTAATTCAAAACTCACCAATAAATAAAAGAATGACTATAGCAGGTATAAAATACATTTTCTAACAATCACAAAATTGCACTTTAAAAATATCTTAAAATTGCAATGCCGTAAAATTTTCACTCAAACTGTATAAATTTAATGTTTTTTATACCTCTTAAAAGCCAACCGTTTGTGAAAAGCGCGCGAAAAGTACTGTCTAAAACTCAATACTATTCAGTAGATACAGACGTGGGCGGAACGAAGCCAGAACATATTTACAAATATTATTGAACAAGCACTATTATATGAACTGAGACATTAGACTAAAGACTAATGGGTTACTCAATGTCATTCTAGACTCTTTTAAAAGTGTGAATAAAAAAACAAACATGTTTAATTTTTGTTTTAAGCTGTGTTAACATAATGATACCCAAAAACGTAGATAACAGACTAATCTGTCACATAGACAAGACATCAAGGACACACAGGTTTGAGCTGACTTTCTTTTACACATGTCTGTTGCACGTATGGTAACAACATGGATGGTAAGGTGGATTTGGGCAAGTGAAGGCTTGACAGGGAGAAACCACCGGGCAGCATTCTCCTGGATACCAAACAGTACGTGCGTATCGACCACTGGGCCTTGTGCAAGCGCCGTGATTGAAGCAATCCGCTTTGCAAGGAAAATCATAGCAGCATGGTCTGTAACAATGTGAACATGGAACTTATTAAGATATATTCATAGAATATTTTTCCGACACCATTTTGAAATTTCAGTGCTAAATTTTGTAATCTGTTTCCTCCGTCAGTATGACCGTAATGCAACTTATTTCCACTATGACCTTTTTTGCTGTAGATCCATACGAGCATCAACATCGACAAGGAATGAAATGGTTGTCGGTACCCATCTAATTACAATGCAAAGGTCGTAACCGCAAGGCACAAGTACAACTAGAAAGCATGATTGCTCACGGCTGAAATAGGCAAAATGGTGGTATCCAACCATGCGGGCTCACTATTCACCCTAACATTAAGACTGCATTTCAGTGATAACCCTTCAACATTAAGACTGCATTTCAGTGATAATAATCATCTTTGCTTCAGTCAAATCATTCAAAATTCATTGATGATCAAAAAGACAATTTGAGTCGCTTACTTTTCTAAGGGAACATTACTGGGTCCTCCACAATAAGCCGTTGTTTCCCTCTGGTGTGGTTGCGGCCTCGGTTGTCCACATCGAGGTCTTTTATTGTAAATGCTACTTTCAGCTGTTACATATCCATACCTTGCAATTGGCCTACAGTTTTCAATACCTCGTGGCAGTACTGACATTTTGCCGCTATTTGCTTCTGTTAGATATTAGTCAATGCTGTAACTTTTGGTTTTGTCAAAACTAAATAAATTCTAGGTTTACGCAAATGCATGATCATTTAATTGTACATTTGATGTACTACATTTTTTTTAAATTATTAACTCTAAATTTTTCAAGTTAAAATATGATATTTAAAGTTATACTAGCAAAAAAGTTTTATGTTTTTTTTTTAACAAACGTACTTATAATTCTGTTTTACTTTGTAACACCTTATCAATATGGGTTTCAGCAGAGACGAGCCACAGCCTCGAATAGACAAAATTTGTCTTGAGGTTAGAGTTGCAATTTATATAAACGTTTTAAATGGTATGGTATAACGTATGACTTAAAATTACCTTATTTTTAAGTTTTTTGGTTTTTATTTTTTATACAATAATTTTTTATTTCATCTAATTAGTATTTTTAATCAAAACTGACGTTTACGGAAATTTTATTATAAACTTCTAGTTCTTGAGGTTTTGCTACATAACCAAGGAGTATTTAACTATGTGGAATTGCAAGAGTTCATACCCGACTTTATGAACAATACTCGTTAATATACGGACAAAGTCAGTACCAACAATTGAAGAATATAATTATATATTACTAGCGACCCGCCCTCGCTTCGCTTCGGAAACATTAAAACACACATGAAACCAAAAATATTAAAATAATTTTTTAAAAAAAAAAAAGTATTCTATGTTCATCAGGGACAATGTCGGCTTCTAATGGAAAAAGAATTTTTCAAATCGGTCCAGTAGTTTCGGAGCCTATTCGAAACAAACAAACAAAGAAATCTTTCCTCTTTATAATATTATAAGTATAGATATAGATATATCACATCCGTGTTCAAGTTTCAATCTATTACTTGGTGACTTTTAACTTAACATACTTAATTTTAATTAAAAGTACTTTTACGGTTTTATCTCGCATTTATTATTATCACCGATTCATTCGTTCGTGACCATGAAAATTAAGATATTAGAAATTTCGGTAATTACATTTAAATGCCAATATTAAGCGAGATTAAACCTTTAAGTGTCTATATTCAATTATGTCTACGGCTCGCGAATGTCGGAGATATTAATATTCTTTTTATAAAGTTTCTAATCTAATGGGTACATTTGTTTTATATCCATTTTATGCGTTCTCATAAACCAATTCTGTTTTATATCTTGATCAATCTAAAGCTCAAACATCTGTATTAAAACCACTTGTTGTGCTGTTTATGGATAAATGATATGAGCAATGAGCAATACCGGAAATCTATGGGATCACAGTCGTATTCGAAGCGTTTCACGCAATGTTATAAATGAGTCGACTATTATCAAAGCCGGCAATGTGACTTTTGGACAATTATTGGTAAATCAGAAAAACGAATTATTGACTTTGTATTCCATTGGCAGTCACAAAACTCTTCTGAACGACATCTTAGATAAATAACAGGTTAAGTATTAACCTTTATTTAATGCAGTTTTTGAACCGTATTCTTTGAAGGAGACGATTATTTTCAAATCAATCTGTATTGACATATCAATAACATTTTCTTGTCCAAATGCACAGATTGCCACCTTTGATAATAGACGACTCAAATATTCCTTAATTTCAACTAACGCATTTACATACTTATTATAGCTTTTTGTTCTTGGAACAAAAGCAACAATAGGATTCGTCATAAAATGGTAAACAAGTCTTAACAACTATTCATAACACAGTATGCTAGTAGAGTAGGGCTTATTATGAATCATCATACGTACTTCATTTCATTATAGTAAAAATCCTTATTTTTTAAACGTTTATTACGCAACACTTTAAGTACAATTTCCAATATGACATAACAATTGCATATAAGATTCCATCCAAACAAAAATCACCAAATAGGCATGCTAGGTCCGCAGCCATCCTTACAGACAGGGACTCCTGGATAGCTGCAACGTTGCGGCTTGCAGACAGCTGGTTCGGTACAATACGACGGGCAGGGCTTGCAACGGTTCGGCCTGCATGCTGGAATCGCTATGGTGTCGTAGACTAGTACTGGATCTGGTTTGCAAGTAACCGGCTGTAAAAGAAAAAAAAAATCTGTTTCGTTCAAATTATAATAGGTAGCACCGTAATAATTGACGAGTTGCCAAAAAACAGTAGGTACGATGAGTTGAATGAAGCGATGATACAATTTTTGTCCAATTATGTTTTATTTTATTTATTTATTTATGTACACACAAAAAAGAAGACAGTACATAGTAATAGGAAAATTATGTACAAAGGCACTGCTTATTTCTTTAAGAAATCTCTTCCAGCAGACCTGCGAGAGGATTATGAGAATAATAATTAAAAGTGATGAGTGTGTGTAGAACAGCTAAAATAACAAATACAACATGAGAATTATAGTAATGCACATACACATAGCAAATATTGTTAAACTTGAATACAAAATATTATAAGTAACACAGTATANTGTACAAAGGCACTGCTTATTTCTTTAAGAAATCTCTTCCAGCAGACCTGCGAGAGGATTATGAGAATAATAATTAAAAGTGATGAGTGTGTGTAGAACAGCTAAAATAACAAATACAACATGAGAATTATAGTAATGCACATACACATAGCAAATATTGTTAAACTTGAATACAAAATATTATAAGTAACACAGTATATCATAAGAAGAGTATAGAACAATGATCATTCGGTTGATGAGAGATAGAATTGTTTGACCTTGTGTTTTTTAGTAAAAAATAAAACTAACTTTTTCACATGGAGGGCACGGAGGTAGGTTTGGTAATACTGGTATCGGCAGACAAGGCTCTGGATACGGTCGAACAGGGGGCGGGCAAGGGGAACACCCTCCTCCAGGACACACGGAGCAAACCCTCAAGTCGTTACACGATGCAACACAGGGCTTTGTCGTGTACGGATAACATGCACCACATGGCATTCCAGAGCAAACACAGGGATCGTAGCTGTAGAAAGGAGCACTCATTTTTATTTATTTTTAAATTATTAAAATAGTTAATACGAAAAATTTTAAAGTTAAAAAATATGACACTCGTGATGTTCTTTTTGGACTGAATTTATTAGCAAAGAGTATATAATTAAAAGTTTTGTAATGTGTCTAGCAAATTACTGGATGCGGTCATGCTCTGTCCGAATCTGTAATTTTATTTTGTGATGCATTTGTGATTTTTTTAATGTTTTATTACAATTTTACGAACGTAACTTTTTACCACTGAAGTTTACTTTATAGGTCTATGTTTTTTACCAAACATTCCCCAGTGATGCGCTAATCAATAGTAATTACTTTTCATTTCAATATATTGTGTATTGTCTTAATAAGAAACAGTGATTTTTTAACGCAAGTTTTGCTAGTAATTTCCTTAGCGTTACTTGTATCTTGAGTAGCTTTTTAAAAACAGTAATCTTACTGACGTTTTAGTTTAATACTATTATTCCAATGAATGCGGAAGATCTCGATTTTAGATAAATAAACAGCGGGTTTTATGAAGGTCAACCTTTGTATAATTCATAATATTGTTATGAAAATAAATTCACCAGAAATGTATGCATCCTTTGTGTATCGTGCGTTATGTTATTTACACGGTTGTCAGGAAACTGATTAACATAGTTTGAACAAAAGTATCAACATTAATAATTTATTAAACCTTTTTAATTGAAAACCATAGAGTACATTTTTACTGTTTGAAATAATGAAACTTCAATAAAGGTTGACGTTTATTTTGAAAATTTGTTGTTTGAAGAAAATAATCTTGAAAATTAAAAAAAAATTACGAATACATTAAACGACAAAATAATATTTCTGAATTCAAAATGTGTTCCACCTCTTTTTGTCCCACATGCCCACCAATATTACCATGTGGGCTAGGACCGTGTTGCTTCTCGTGTCCACCACCTACTCCCTGCTGCCAGCCCTGTTGCCCTCCACCACTACCGTGTACACCTTATCCTCCATGTAACTGCAAACCAATATGTAGGCCGAGTCCAGCTCCTCTTTTGCCAGATATAATGCCTCCAATAGTCCCGGTTTTACCGTGTTGCAAGCCACGTCGCGATCCTCCCAGTGAACCTCCCCCACCTTGCCCGCAAAAACCTGCCTATTGTCCACCAGTTTTGCCTTGCTGTCCACCACCTCAGCCGTGTGACCCACCTCCAGTAAGTAATAACAAAGAAGTATTTTTCTGTTTAGTTACATATATATTTTGAGTCCACACGGGTAGGTACCACCACCAATTTGCGTAAATACTGGTGGTAGGACCTCTTGTGAGTCCGCGCGGGTGGGTACCACCACCCCGCCTATTTCTGCCGTGAAGCAGTAATGCGTTTCGGTTTGAAGGGCGGGGCAGCCGTTGTAGCTATACTTGAGACCTTAGAACTTATATCTCAACGTGGGTGGCGCATTTACGTTGTAGATGTCTATGGGCTCCAGTAACCACTTAACACCAGGTGGGCTGTGAGCTCGTCCACCCATCTAAGGAATAAAAAAAATGTATATATATGGACATGTTGAACACCCAAATTTAAAGTCGAACACAACAGACATATAAAACTATATTTTTCGAATTTCATTTCGTTATACTGTTATTCTTTTATTGTAGAAGTAATTAATTTGCAAACAATTCTGTGATGACAAATCAAAACCAAGGTTTCCAAATTATTTACAGATGAAACGATGTCCCGAGCCAATAAGATGCTACTATCCCGTTTTGCCGTGCTGCAATCCACAGTGCCCTACGCCAGCTCTTCCCAAGCAACGACCTATTTGTCCAAGGCCGCCCCCCGCTACATTTCCTTGCGTTCCTGTATCTCGCCGATGCTGCCCAGACTGCGAAATCGATCCGATAACTGTTCGCAGACCCCTAATAGTTCATAATGGCGTATTGCAAAAGAAGCCCGCACCTACTCCTATGGTATGCTTCACGATCCATTACGTTAAATTTTATTAGTCAGTTCCGTGAAGTAGGTTACTGGTTCGCCAAAAATAGATATTTAGTATATTTTTACATTAGATCCGCCTAGAAGAAGGTGGATAATAAGAAAGATTCTCTTTTGCAGAGCCCAGGAGGCGCGTACGCTGTGGATGTCCCTTTGAGGTAGTGAGAAGCTTCGAAATGAGAGAAACTTAGAATGTGGATGAAATTTCGTTACGTCTATTTTTATTTAATAAAAACGTTTTTGTTCCCTAAGGGTTTATTTATTTCTGTTACGGTAATAAATAAATTTAATTTTGGTTTGAGGAGATTCATCAGACGTGGACAGTGGTTTGCTTTGCCCCTGGTATATCTGATGCTCGTGAGCGACGGTGACATCTTACCATCAGTTGGGCGTTATGTTAGTGTACCTACAATGGCTACAAAGACCTTTAAAACAAGACTGATGACGCAACCTGCCGATTCTGCTCGAAGGATGTGAAAATTGTTTCACCTATATAATCGTCCTCTGCAGCGTGGACATCGTCACACGTAAGAGGTTAGCATCGATCGTATTTAATTGCTCCAGCCCTAGAAACGTATCCGAATGTAACGGGCTCACATTGCTGCTTATACAATAGGGTAACAGTTAGATAGATACAACAAATAAAAAAAGATATGCTGCACAAGACGTCCGGTACATTCGAGCAAACATACATGTCGAACGATTCAACGGTGTTTGAATTCCACAGGCGGGTACCACATTTTCTAATGAAATACGTACTTAATAAATGTTCACGATTGACTTCCACGGTGAAGGAATAACATCGTCTAATAAAAATTAAACCCGTAATATTTTAATTTGTGTTATTACTGGTGGTAAGACCTCTTGTGAGTCCGCACGGGTAGGTACCACCACCCTGCCTATTTCAGCCATGAAGCAGTAATGCGTTTCGCTTTGAAGGGTGGGGCAGCCGTTGTAACTAAACTGAGACTTTAGAAATCATATCTCAAGGAGGGTGGCGGCATTTACGTTGTAAATGTCTGTGGGCTCCGGTAACCAATTAACACAGGTGGGTTCTGAGCTTGTCCACCCGTCTACGCAATAAAAAAAATAAAAAAAAAAACAAAAAAAAAACGAACGGGTCATAAGTGGTAGGTGGTGGTGGGTGCCTGTGGTAGCAGTATGATTGATTGTTTGGTAGCAGCTTGATAGTGTTGTTACTTGTTAGCATTAATGATATCCATAACAAACAGAATCACTCACCATTAAGCGAATTAATAAAAAGTCAGATTAAAAATACCTACCAAGTAATCGATATAGTTATTATAAGTAATGAATTTTAGCTGCTAACTAATCCTGATTACCAACCGTAATTATTGAATCTACAAAACAAAATAGTATTGGAATATATTTGAATATACACCATTTTGCCTTTTATGGTATGCGTATTTTACTGTGTATATTTTATACAAGGATTGTTGCTGTGGCATGGCAGTCGGTTATATTCAATGCGTCCCATTCAGATGTAATCATCCCCAAGACACCGCTTGTAACAGAGGCCCCAAAAACGAGTATTCAAGAAGATAAAAGCGGTACAAGAAAGTTTTTTTTTTTAAGTTTTACATTATCTCCTCCTATCCTGACCTTATTATGGATGAAATGAAACACGAGATTTTTGGGCCTCCTGTTACTGTTTCGTTTACTTTATTGTCTTATTACTAAACCACCTAGATTTAGAACTAAGCCAATTTGTAGTGAAATGTGGCAAAACTCAACCGTAGAAACGTACGAGTATATATACATGAAATCAAAAGACATTAAAATTCCGAAATAAAAACAAATTGCAATTATCTGTACGTAGTTAATGTAAAAGATTTTAACATGATAAATTAACCTAGCAATTTAAATAACTAAGTAGTTACAAAACAGGCAATTTCAGTTTTGCTATCCAACTTCTAGAGTACGTTGTAATGAAAACAATATCTTGAAAAGAAAACCCATCTGTTTCGGGAAAAGAAACTTGTAAGACTGCAAAAAAATTACAGCCTAATTAATACTTTTCGCAAGAAAGTTAAATTTGATTTTATAATCATAATTATATCATTGAAACTACAATAGATGATTAGCGACAAGTTTACTGTATATTTTACAAAACAAGTGTGTGTTTCTAACCATTTTCAAATTCACTATAGAAATCGTCCATTGCGTTACATAATTTGAGTGTAACAGCTGTAGATGTTGATGCAAGGATTTACAGGATAGCATCGCTGTGTTGGTGGCACGCTACTCTGGCAGAGGAGCGGAGATGCAGGTCCACAGATCGGACGACAATCCGGAGGTGAACAGACTGGTGGACAATAACCCATTTTTTACTTTTTTAATTTATAGACTTGTAAATTTAAAAAACTTTACCAATATTTCGATTAAATGAGATTCTCGTAGCAGTGCAATGACTCTTATAGGCATAGCGGAGTCTACTAGATTTTTATTTCAAATCTACTAGGTTAAGCTACGAACAATATAAATAATAAAAATTGCGAAGAAGAAATCGGAAAGTTGAATTGAGTAAAGTTTTCGGTATAATTGAGACTTGTATTACACGATAAGCATCATTGATTGATTTCACATTTTTAATTAATACAAAATTCACATACAAATCTATGGTAGCTTGATAGAGAATTAATCCCACAATTACTTATGAAAGGTTCTGTATGATGATATCATCTGATTCTACTACCACCACAAACTCGCAAACAGCTTGTATTAAATTAGCGTAACTCGTGACATCGTATTATTCGCTTACACAATCCACCAAATCTATCTAATCTAGAAGTGTAGTGTTTAGAAGTTCTAGTAATCTTGCATTCCAATTTGACGAACGTTAGAATACAATTGTTTTTTTTTTTTTTATTGCCCTTGTAGGCAGACGAGCATACGGCCCACCTGATGGTGAGTGGTTACCGTCGCCCATGGACTTCAGCAATGCCAGGGGCAGAGCCAAGCCGCTGCCTACCGCTTAATACTCTCCACAAGCCTCGTTTGAAGAAGGACATGTCATAGCGCTCGGGAAACACCATGGAGGGGAGCTCATTCCATAGCCNTGTAGGCAGACGAGCATACGGCCCACCTGATGGTGAGTGGTTACCGTCGCCCATGGACTTCAGCAATGCCAGGGGCAGAGCCAAGCCGCTGCCTACCGCTTAATACTCTCCACAAGCCTCGTTTGAAGAAGGACATGTCATAGCGCTCGGGAAACACCATGGAGGGGAGCTCATTCCATAGCCGGATGGTACGTGGCAAAAAATACCTCTGTAGTATGGATGAACTCTACTCCGGTGGCGGGCGGTGCGATGGTAAAAACGAGATGCCGGTATCATCTCGAACAATTCCTCAGAGCACTCCCCATGGGACACTATTAATATTTCGACTTCACGATAACTGCAACTGACTAAATACTTGGTTATGGACAACTCTAGTCACTTATAGCATTAAAAAGTTTAAAATCGCCATGAGCTCATCCTAGTGAAGCCGAAAAGACCTAACAGCAACTAGTAATCCGTTAATTAATTTTTCGGCGGTTAATTTTCACAACCAAAATCGAGGTATTTTATATGTTTTGGTAGATCGAGATGGCGATGGTGATTGAAATATCCCTATTATGTTTCCAGTATGTCTTATATACATATTTTTTTCATAAATTTATTCCGATAATGCAATAGTGCCGATTTATAATATAATAAAGATAACTACATCATTAAAGTGGTCTATAGGCAAATTAATTGCATGATTTCATTGGGTCAGTGAAATGAGTATTGTTTTATTGTTCAAGTCTACTTAGTGCTATGTGGCTACTAAAACCTACACATACTAAAGCGTTAAAGTCCCCACTCCCTTGAAACATGAGGTCGAAATCTTAGTTGTATTGTAAAAAACAACCTCAAATAATACTGCGCTCTGCTATGCTTTTGCTATATTTGGCTATACTTATATTTCATTTCCGCATACTTTTTTTAAATACATATATTTTAGTGGCATGCATAGTTAGGTAGGTAGGTAGATACTGCTACCATCTAGACAAAAAAAATAGAACTCACCGACCACACCTCATAACGTCATATGGTACAAAATAAGAAAAAACTATTAGCTATAGACAGAAATGTTCCATACAATCTGTACGATTGGGATCATCGAAAACCCAATCCACTTTCTTTTTTTATTGCTTAGATGGTTGGACGAGCTCACAGCCCACCTGGTGTTAATTGGTTACTGGAGCCCATAGCCATCTACAACGTAAAGGCGTCACCCACCTTGAGATATAAGTTCTAAGGTCTCAGTACAGTTACAACGGCTGCCCCAGCTTTCAAAGTGCAACGCATTACTGCTTCACGGCAGAAATAGGCAGGATGGTGACCCCTACCCGCGCGGACTCACAAGAGTTCCTACCACCAGTAATTACTGCCTTCTTCTTTATAATCATAAATAAGAGCAACACGCGACGAGGCTGAGCATATGCATGTATTCGGAGCAATGTGCCTATAGGGTGTTCCCAAAGAGGTATACCAAGCCGAAAACAGTAGTATTACTACTACTAGAATAATCGATATGACGAAAAAAGGAGTTCCTGAGTAAACATTTTCGGAATAAAGAGTACTTGAATATAACGACCAAACTGCTCTTCTGCCAAACCTTGAATTTAGGTTTCACGTAAGGTACCGTAATATGTAGAAAAAAGAAGACTAACCTAATATAAAAAATATGCGATTTTTTAAATAGTTTATATGTGCTAACAAGCATATTATGGTTCACCTGGTATTGAGTGGTTACTGAGGTTCATAGATAACGTAAATGTCATCACTGGCCTAGAAACTTGAGTTCTAAGTCACAGGTATAATATAGCCCTAAAGACTTATCAGGTAGGTAGGAAGGTATAACAGGCAGATATGACGGCCTTAAACTGGAACCCATTACTTCTTTGCGGCAGAAACAGGCAGAATGGTAGTAGTACCTACCCGTCCGACAAACAAAACGCCCTACCACCATATGAGGCTTCTGCTGAGCGCTCTGCTCAAACCTCGTTTGAAGAAACACGTTATGCACTCAGAGCACACCTTTGAGTGATTACTGGTTGCCCGGAGCGTTTTCCAGTTTCACCAAGACAGTTTATTCCAGATCTAAATATGCGAATGTTATGGCTTTATGTTGATGCCCCCTGGCTAGGTGGTGAGATGACGTCCGAACGGTGGCCAGCAAGAACTGAATGAGGGGAACCAGGACCGAGCTCAGTGGTGTGGATTGGGAGAAGCCTATGTCGAGCAGTCGATTTGACTTCTCGAACAACCCCCGACATCAAGAATCACAACATTTAAGATTACAATTTATTATTATTATTGTGTTCTATCTGTATTCCTAGTGCGTTGATGACTGGGCCATAATACAAAAAAGCAGTACAGCTCATTTATTTTCTGATCAGGAAACATGAGTGAATTCGCTAAAAGTGCTTGAGGCTCAACATAGCTTGGTACTGATTTGTCAGTCTAATGCATTAATGAAATAAATATTAAACAATTAAAACGTATCAATTATATTCTCTTTGGTAGTGAAGTTTCCATGATAGGGTTTTGCGGCAGATGTCTTCTAATTTGCAAATATTAACAAGATACAATACACAGATTCACAAAATTATACTACTTTTGCCACTAACACAGAACATATTTCTAGGACATTATAACATTAACAACATAATTTGATTTCTCGTGTTCGACTTGTCTCAATAGGTTTTGATATTCCGACCGTGATGACCGATCGCTATAGTAGCTTTATCAAAGGCAGCAATAGGGCGAGGAGGTTGACCTATAGCTAACACAGCATCTGTAAGATAAAATTTAAAATTGGACATTATAACCTAAAACAAAATTCTTCACTGGAGTTCTCTTAGAAAGTTGTTAAGCCGGGGTATATAATACAATTCATTTGGAAAGTATTAGCTAACTTTCATCTATTTTAAATTATTGATATAAACTTAATATTATACTAGCGACCCGCCCTCGCTTCGCTTCGGAAACATTAAAACACACATGAAACCAAAAAATAAAATAAAAAAAAATTAAAAAAAAGTAGCCTATGTTCATCAGGGACAATGTCGGCTTCTAATGGAAAAATAATTTTTCAAATCGGTCCAGTAGTTTCGGAGCCTATTCGAAACAAACAAACCAACAAATCTTTCCTCTTTATAATATTAGTATAGAGTATAGATATAGATTTTCATATGCCTTATGGACGGTGTCTGGAAAATCATTGGATATGTGCTACTTGACTGTAAACTGTGACCAGAGATCCTCCGCTGCAGCACGGAGTACAATTTCTAGTGGAGTTACAGGGCGATGGGCATCCGCTGCAACCGCCTCTGAAATACACAATAAAGAAAATACATTGGCAAGTAAAAAATGTGCACAATTTATGCCAAGTCACAAATATAAATCAAGCGCTGTCAAAGGTACTATTTCAAAAGAGTTACCGAATTGCGGACATAACAGTTTGTAATTTATTAATAGCATCCATGCGATCACACATTTTAGATTTATTCTGTACTTAAAATTTTCTATACTCTGAAATTTTATCTTTTGTGAAAATATTATTTAAAAGTAAGTCAAAGCATTAAGTGATGTTACTTTAATCGATAAACTATTTATCGATCGTTTAGATATTTAAACGGGCTGACTATGGCGCAGAAAAACTATTTCTCGTGGAAATAGTAATCGTATATAAGCTATTTTTATGGCATAAACGGGTAAAACTCATAACAAACCTGGTGTTAAGTGGTTACCGGAACCCATAGATATCGCAACGTGAAAGTCACCTTGAATCTGACTATATATTGCTATAATGCTTGAAACTATAAACTATGTATAATCCTAGTTTCATTTGTGAACTTGAGCTAAGCACGAATTTTATTACAAAAAAATATTTGCCAATTGGCTTACGGGATTTGAAGACCGGCTGGCTAGTCGCATCGTTTGATACTAGTACGACGGGTGCCTTTTGTTTTGGGCTCCAACGATTTTGAAAGCGTGCTGGTTATAAGTTGGTCTCTCAGTGGAGAGGACGTAATTTGATTGAAATGCCGTCCATCATCGAACAGCAATCTAAAAATAAGTAAAATAGTACTGTATTACTATGGCTATTTATTCCAGTACTATCTAATCTATCTAATCTACTATGTCTAAGCCGTAGCATGTATAAATAGCGAACAAACGAGTGTTTTGATTTCATGGTATTGTACTTCTCCTATTATTTTAAATATGTAGTCACATAATTTATTGTAGAAGAAAATTTTACATGCGATAACATTTAAATTGTTTTTGTTCATGAAAAACGAGGGATTTATCGATATAGAACTCTACATTTTTAACGACACCTTATAATCCCTAAAAGAATATAGTGACGTTGCATGACATTAACTTTCTTCCAACACATATGTTTATGATTTCCCAAAAAGTTTTGTTACGCGCAAGATTTTGCCTTCTATGTGTGGAAATGTACTAAATTCCATTCACACCGTTCGGAGACACGCACCAAATTTTAATCGTCTCGAAGTGGGCTCAAGTTCGTTCACGCGCATGTTGTAATAAAAAGGAACCAGCATGCGTTAGAGAGTGCGGTTATCCCTCACCTTCTTTTACTTTCGCAAGAGTCGAGTAGCTTACGTGTCTTCATGGGTCTCTGGCGATGGTCCCTAAAATGACACGTAGAGGGAAGTACCCGAAACGCTTAAGGGACAAAAATTCGGGCGGGATCTTTATCTTGTGGATCCTGGATCAACTGCAATGAGTTGGTGCTTAGAGAGGAGAGTGCTATGTAGAAAGTGTGTCGTCAGAATGCTTAACATGTAATGATTTGAATGAAAAGACACCCGATCGAATAAAACAACAACAAACTTCACGTGTTTTTGTCCTTTACGGGTGGTATGAAAATGTCAGTTGATAGATATCTACCCACCGATAGACTTGTCTACAGAAGAGTCGATATCTATAGAAGGGACAATAAATGATCGTTTTGATGGATAGAAGTGCATTTAAAACAAGGTGTAAGTACAGTGAGGAATTTCAATCAGCACATTTCAGTGGTTCACAGACTTCAAATTTCTTTACAGACATCTACGTTAAAGCATTCATCATATTCAAATAAATTCATATAAAGATAATTTGTATCGCGTCAGAAAATTTTCCGACATGACCGTTTTCATTTGTGTTTGCTTACCTGCAAGCTTTAACAGCGTGAGTAAAATAATTGTCTTCTTATTTAAAACATATAATATTATAAGTGATGTCAATTCACTGTCGAAATAATTCAAAGTTTTTAATTTGCTATCTATAGTATGTAGTATGTATGTTATTATACTTAGAATTTTGTGATTGCATGTTATGGTAAAGGAGCATCTGAAGTAAGTGCACGAAGACTAAGTGATTATGTGATTATGCTGCAAAAACTAATGATTTCCAAATTTGCAAATGGACTGACGTCTTTTCTAGCAATGGAAAACAAATTGTTTACAGAAATTAATCAGAATAGAAAAACAAAAATAATCCTCGACCTAGAACCTCGATTCAATCCCGAAACCTGAATTTAGCGTCGGAACGAAGGCTATGCGTCATGATAATCGCCTGCTGACTACCTACTCCCCGAATCTTAATCACGCAGGAGCCAGTCACAGTTATCGCCCTGGACACGTCCGGATGCTTCAGCTCCAATAACCCTTGCATTAGACGCCTTTAGCTCAACACGGAGATGGGACCCCGGTAACCATACTCGTCGACTTCGGTAAAGAATTCGACGTGCAACCTAACCCCAACAGCTTATCGCCGGATCTTAGCGGGTCGCGATTCCGATCCGGTAATAGACTCATTCGCGAAGTAGTTATTTCCGTTGGAGGCGCCCGGCGCTGTTATCAAATCCTACTCTTGGGTGAACACTTGCTCGGCCATTTGTCCCAGTAAAAGTGGAAAGGCTTCCGGGCCACCAGTAACCTCTCAAACACAAGGAATGTTGACCTATCACGACCGATAATCCTGAGAGTATTTTAGAAAAGGTTTCCTACAGCCCAAAACTTCAGCACTGCCATAAATTTCTCACCAACAAAGAGTTTTGCCCGTTGATTTCCACTGCAAACGGATAAGGATAGATGAATCAGCTGAGCGAGCTGAACGGAATAGCTGAAATGGGAAATGAGTAGTCCGATTTCCACAAATTTCCACAAAGAGCGATCAGTTGGAGTTTTGAACTGGTTATGTGCGATGTTTTGTTGTGTGAATGTATACCGAAAGAGTAACTTCGGGTCCGTTCCAATGGCGGTGGAAACGGGGCTTTACACAGTACACCTTAACGACGTTGTAAGGCGATATGCAGTCGTGCCAATACGGCACAACTACGTGGCATATAAAAGGCAAAAATTACACTTATTTTTTATTTACACAAAACATCACTATTGCACTTAACACTGATGGTTGTCATCGACGACACCCGCGTCGATTTGTTTCCGAATTTAACATATCTTCGTGCAGCACGTGTATATGGTGATGCACGGAGAGCAGGGGCCGCAGCATGGGCCGCAACAAGAACCGCAGGGTCCTCCACACCTATAGGAAAAAACAAGGTTATTCTTGTAATTAAACGTATCGTGAATACCGACGTCCTGGACGCTCCTGTATACTTACATATTCTTATAGAGATCGAAGCAAAGGCTAATATTTAAAAGTATCAAAGTTTTCACTTCAGCGTTTTTGTAAAATAGCTATGAATGGTTTTTTTAGTCTTTTTATGTTTTGTCACTTGAGAGATTTTGTTGTACTGACCCAGTATCTCGACGTGCTTTTATATTATACCATTACATTCAAATCGAGAACGTGGTAAGATTTTTTTTTAATTTCGAACAAGAAACATGTTTCTGAATGCCAGTTTCTAATTAAAGCCAGATATGAATGATACGATTTGGCACCTGATTGGAAACCCACGGCATGTTTTTTTATTTTATTTTTCTTATCTGGTAACAACCGAATTACGATTTACGCAGAGCAAATGTAATAAAGTGTGCATTGAGTCTGGTTCGCGTTTCTATTTATTTTTGGCGCGCATTCAGCTCTGAAGGATAGAATAGTCATTATTTTAATGCAATCCAAACTTCATCTTTGTAGATCCACAATGGCTCTTGGATATCACAACGTGAACGCCACTAGCCACCTTATGAAGGTCGTAGTCCAAATTATGTCATTCATGCTGTTGGTGTCAATGGAGTCCACTTGAGTCCAGTAATCGCTTGATACCATGTAATACATTATTATAAAAATTAATTAATTAAAGGTGTTATAAAAAGTATCAAGTTCCACGACTCTATTCCAGCCTTTCATTTATCAACAACATTTATTTTTTTCTTTATGCACTTATAAATCAGTATTATTTTGGTATCGCGCTACAAGTAGAGATCAGTTGTATTGGAGTTAGGTCAGCGGTCGGAAATTTAGCTGTAGGTATTTGTTTGTGTATGTATGAAGATGGAACGTACGATCTCAATCTTAAAGATAATTCGATTGAGCGAATCCAAAATCGTACCGTCTGTAGAAACCTTTACGAAAAAAGCAGCTAAAAAGCAAAAACTAAAGCTTAGTTCAGATAATTCAAGAAATGAAAAGAACGATTTCAAAATTGAACCATTGCCAAAAATTTAATGGATCAACAAAACACTTCGGTATTTTGAAACAGATTTCATTTATTGTTACTTTGCGGAAACAAAACTAAAGTTTTGCTTGCTTTCATCGTCGGTGGACGAGGTTACTGTCCACCTAATGTTAAGTGGTATGCTAGGCTAATGGACATTAGCAATGAACGGAAACATGCACTATTTATTAAACACTTAAAAACCCTTGTGTTTTCCATTGTGTTGTTTTTTTTGTCCCTCAAACCCTGTAGTCATTTGTTCCATATATAGCTCTGGTTATACAATTCAACTGAGACTTCATCCTCATATCTGAAGGGCAAGGGTCGCATTCATATTTAAATAACTATGGGCCGCTAGGTCTTTCATCCATCTATTCAATAGACAAACAACGTTTAAAAAAACTCCCTAGTAAAAGAAAAAGTCAAGCTAAGTCTATTTCGCCATTTAATTGTCTGAGCTACGTCGGAGAAAGTTGCGTCATTTGGTTATTGGATTCTTAAGCCTAAGGAACAAATGCTATGGATAATAAAAATTTTGAAAGAAAAAGTTCCTTGATCTTGAAAATATACAAAAAATACAATTCGAAGCCATCTCCAGGATTAATTAAAACTACGAAGAGCTTTTACCACGAACACATATTAAAAAATAAATCATAGATTGTATTTTTTCATTTGTCCGAATTATGACAAACACGACCAACCAGACTTTAAATTTTTAACAAATTTTTGTACATTTTAAAATGGTTGATGCAAAATTTTAGTGAACTTTCCGCAAATGCACATTTAATAAATTTCCAAAATTCAAAGTAGATGATTCAAAGTAGAGAAAGAGAACTAAAATATAGATTTACTACTAAAATTATGAGTTTATAAGTAAAAGTTACTTTGGCATGACAATAATCTTCGAGGCTGCTACTACTTTTTAGAGTACGAGTATAAATCCCACTAAAGGTATGTGGAATTCATAAAACTACATAATTTTAAAGTACACAAAGCTATTTAAAGTACTCTATAAAAGGTAGAAACGGTAAGTGGCCTTAATCTGTCAATTAATAACAATTTTATAGAAATATATCGAAAATATCATTATCATTGAGGTTCCTTAACGTTTCTAGAATAAAATACATGTTGATAGAAGGTTTGCTTGACACTAAATGTTTTTTCGGAATTTTCTCAAAATGTAACTAAAGGTGATCATATTGAATGGCACGATAATTACATTATCTGATTACATTTCATTGTTTTAAAACTAGCTCTGATTTCGATAGATTTCTCAAAATGAAGCGAAGCGTGAACTGTGTTCCAGTCCGGACCTCAAAAAGCCGGGAGTTACGCGGTAGTATTTTGTATACTGATTGCTTTTGCTTGCGTCGGAACGGCCTTCAATACGACTGCCGCAGAAGCGGCTGCCAAGGGTCGCAACTATGCCAAACCTTACCAAGACCCCTCTGCGAACAAGCCCAAGTAGCATGCACTAGTCACTTCAAAAACCCTCATGCGGAATCATTGAGAGCGATATGCAAAATGCAAGCAAAGCTTAAAAATTGTTAAGTTGAAGACAATAAAGTGGAAAGATGATCCGTTGTTTCATGAACAAAATATTTAATTGAAAATTACGTCGCATTGTTCACGGAAGCTTACGCACAAACACTTTTCCAAACAGGCGAATGGTTTTCGATGTTTATTGATTAATTGCCACTGCAACTTGAATAATTAAAAAAAAAGGACAAAAAAATAGGAATAAAGAAATCTTACAATGAGTACATAGCACATAACTAATTTAAATAAAAAAACTGGCATGCAAGAACAATTTTTAAATTTGGAATGTAATGAGAAACATGAAAGAAAAATCATTTTATTTGACAGAACAAATCAGATGCTCACGGATAACTGATGTAAATTTTAGTGTGAAAAATATATAAAAATATATTTTATAGAAAAATTACAAGTGATTTTTACTAACTTTATGAGTGAAAAATAAATTCAGCTCCCTCCTCCATTTGCCTGTATTTTACTACAATCATGTAAGTATAGTTTTGAATCAATAATTCCAGTAATTTGAATGATATGACGATTGATGGACCTAAAGAAGATTACTAGAGAGATCACTTATGTATTTTTATTATCATTTCTATTTGCTTTTGTAATGTTATGTTATGAGGGGTTGTACTAGCTTGCTAAACATGTAGGCGAACTCATGTTGCTCAGACTGGAAGACCTTACTAATATCGGCTTCTATGTAAGAGCTGGAGGGTCGTGCATATTTGGCAAATATGAACATCATATATAGAACTTACTCGTCGATCGGTACGGTTCATATAGCCCACTGAGTTTCTCGCCGGATCTTCTCAGTGGGTCGCGTTTCCGATCCGGTGGTGGATTCTGCGAAGCACGACTCTTGATAGGGTTCGTGTTAGTATCGTCAGGTTTGAGCCCCGTGAGCTCACCTACTCGCCGGTTGACGCTGATGTGGTATCTCTAGAGCGTCAGCTTACGTAGGAAAAAAACGGTTCATACACCCTTTTGTCTATCTGGACACGTCCCTTAAACTTGAAAAACGTTAGAATCGTAAAATGAACGTGTCTTGTGAGAACACGCTCCATTGACGGCGATATTCACTGGCGAGTGGCTATCATCAGTATCTCGAATATTCCCAATACATTATAAATTAGTAATCTAAGTTTTCATTGTTAAAACTGCTTTTACCGCGACAGCCGTGGTCATCCATGACCACGAAAACTGTAAAGCATGTCAGATATACTCGTAGTTCTGTTAATTGGCAATAAAAAATCAATCGTAAAAATAGTTTTAATTATTACTACGATTTGAGAAAATCGAAGGATAAATTGTTTCCATGGCATTTTTGTGGTAAAATCAATAATAATATTCTAGGTGTACTCCATGCGGCCCTATGGTATGTTACAAATATGAAGATTGCGGTCCTCCGGTAAGTAAATGAGGGTTATTGAGAAAATAAGAACGGCAGGCACTCAAGATAGTCGCTCTTACCCAAAATGAAAAACTTTAATTAGATGCCTATGGTTACTGTTAGGCTAGCATACCAGCTATAGAAAAGTAATATCTCGATTAAATCCAGTTTTTCATAAACGCCCGACGTTTTCTTCCAGCATTTGATCTGATAAGTATTCGTAACATTCTGTTTTGCATAGCCATGACCGCGCATTTCGCATTAAAATTTAATCTGTGCGCGACAGCGTTGAATACACGAAGAAAAGCTTTGCACCAGTCCCTGTTTTTGGTGGTATTTGATTATCTGTAACTAACCAGAGACACAATTCGCTTTTTTAGATTGGCGAATGTTCGGCTCATCCTATTGACTGCATAACGACACCTACTAAATTGTGTTATAAATGTTGCGTTTTTTTTACATGATGTATTATTTAGTGTGAAGACCGATCTAACCCCGACCTTGTGGCATCGCTTGAAAAATTTTAGAGCACGACAGTAGCGCTTTTATACAGTTACCTACTTATTCAATGAAAATCAAAATCAGCCGCTCTGAGGTCTTGCCGCCGTCGGCATACTAGCTCTGCTGGTCAATAGTCACTCTCTCTGTATGTTAGCGCAAAGCGCTGTGACTGCATTGGTGTTTAGTACGATTATCCCTAAGTAATAAATATCTTAAGGTAGCGTCAGAACGCTGCTTCGATAAAGAGGTGCGATACAATGCCTCGGTGCTTTTTTAGGCCTCTCAAGCACCGGTTACCATCCTCGTATCGAACAAGTTCGACGAGCGATCTCATCCATAGACACAGCCTCGAGTTTCTCGGCGGATCTTCTCAGTGCCTCGCAATTCCGATCCGGTGGCAGATTTTGCGAAGCACTCCTAGATCCCTAGTGTTAGCAAATTCTCTCAGGTTAAGCCCATGATCTCACGTACCCCGTCCGCACGCAGCTAGAATAGCCCCTTAGGCTACCAATAAATAGGTAGGGGGTAAATAAAACTAATTCGTTAATAGATTATAAAATTCATTTAGTGCGCATACGATCGAACGAATACAAGGAGATTTTATATCGGAACTCCCGGAGAGTTCAACCGGGGAGTCTTTGTTCCAACAATATGCTTCTTTGAGTGACCACTTTTCCCTTTCTGAGCCGCTTTAACGGTTATGTTACGAGCACAAAAACCATTAAATGGTATCACAAAATTATTTATTATTTACGAGATTGCAAGATTCGCATTATTATAAATTCACGATATGGTCGTTTTTAATACGCTTTTATTAGCTTCGGACGTGTATGTATGTTAGTATGTAACGGAATCTTTGAACGTGATTTTGACCCCCTTCAAAACTTTGATTAACTCGAGATTTGGTATACTTATTAAGGACCGATGACAATTCAATATTAAAAAAAATTGAAAAAATTGTAATTCAACAAAAAAAATGAAATAAATAACAGTTGAAAAAAAAACACTATTATAGAATATCCAACTAAAAAATAGAAAATAAATTTTAATAAATTTGAATTAAAAATAGTGTAAGAAAAAATGATTTTATTGTAAATAAAAGCGGAAATCTGCTTTTCAGGATTTTGTCAAAATAACCCTTCTACTAATATCTGTTCATAAAATATTTATAGCTACTGATACCATGCACCCCACGCTTTTTTTACAACAAAATCATTTTTTCTTACACTATTTTTAATTCAAATTTATTAAAATTTATTTTCTATTTTTTAGTTGGATTTTCTATAAAAGCGTATTTTGTTAGTTTTTTTAAACTATTATTTATTGCAAGTTTCAGACAAGACCAGTATCAAAATGAGTATAATCGCCATTGAGATATATTGAGCAAAAAACATCACGAATACGCTCTCAATGTATATAAATGTACCATAACATCTGTTGCCAATAGCGTAAACGGCTAAATATTATACAACAATACAAGAACATACAATTAAATAATTTGTTTTCTAATTGAACTTTAATTATTATTACTAAAACTAATGTATTTTGATATTCATATAGCTCCAGTGTTTGCCTCGGTCAGCTTTCAAGCGAAATGGCTTACAAGACTGCCAGTTTTTTCAACAAGGTTCGATTCGCTACCTGTGCCGTGCCAGCTCTAGTCCTCAACCGTGTCCACCGCCCTGTCCGCCGTGTGTGCGATGCCCCCCGCCCGGCAAGACATACGTCACACGATTCAGTGACTTTGATCTAATGTCACAATGGTAGCAACCTCGCAACACTACGGTTTTAGGTAACGACAATGTGCTTTTATTATCACGGCGGACAGATTTGAATGTAGCTTGTTTAAAACAAACGTTTTTGTTTCAGAAAAAAAAGTCGGCCGATGGAAACAGCGGAGCGGAGGAGGGTGGCTCCAAAAAAAAGGATGAAAACGAAAATCAGTTAAAGAGAACTAAAAGCCGTGAATTGCGAGGTGGGATTATGTATTACAGCTGCCACTGCATCAAGCGTAACGGCTTGCAACACGATTGTCGGCGAACAGGTTGCAGCGGTGAGCCGACCTGCCTTGCATTACCGGACCCCTTATGCGCACCCAGTCAATTAGCTNCGGAGGAGGGTGGCTCCAAAAAAAAGGATGAAAACGAAAATCAGTTAAAGAGAACTAAAAGCCGTGAATTGCGAGGTGGGATTATGTATTACAGCTGCCACTGCATCAAGCGTAACGGCTTGCAACACGATTGTCGGCGAACAGGTTGCAGCGGTGAGCCGACCTGCCTTGCATTACCGGACCCCTTATGCGCACCCAGTCAATTAGCTCGCGCCAGGGGCCTGGCTGACCCTGCGGCACTGTCTGCGCATTTACAAAATCAAGAAGGAAGTTCGTCTGGTCGGGCTGAAGTCTCCGGCTCCACTGGCGGGAACAGGTTTATTGTCTGCGAATTAAAAGGCATCGTCCCCGGAACCTCTGCAGATACATCTGAAAAATGCTGTAAGTGTCCTAATTTAGTGGCTACGCAAGTATCCAAGAGCGAAAAAGGCTCTAATTCTTGTGTTTGCAAAGATAATTCTTGTAAAAAATCGCCTAGCGATGTAAAAGGCGGTGCAGGATCTGTATTTAAGTTTGACGAAAATACTTTAAATTCAATCTTAAAAAGCTTTGAGAAAAAAGAGCTCATATCTAAAGGTACGACAGGACATGCTCGAGAACTTAAGGAAAGAGAAGGCCCATGTACAAGACCGGGCTGTATACATCGGAAACCGCCTCCACCATGCCTTTGGAATGCTCCTTGTAAAGCAGATTGCTTCGAAACATCGCCTAATAATCAAGCGGGACATAATCAACTAAGAGACGATGGTGGAATAACTACAGATTCTAAATCTTCGAAGACCGATAGACCACCTCTCCATTCGCTTACAATGAAACTTTTGAATCCCACAGGTTGTTCTTCTGGTGAAGATGGTGCAACAGGTAGCAATGGACCACTATCCGGCTTGCCAGTGCTGTTGATGAAGCTGTGCTAACTTTCATTTTTCTTGTTGGAAGATTAAGAAAAAGTGTAAAACTACTTTTATCGATACTATCTAGAAATAAAGTAATAATTTGTACTTTGTAGTTTATTATTATAATTCCACTGAATGAGACGTACTCATAGGTAATACTATAATTATTAACTACTGGATTTAGGTGTCACATTTTTTCGTTACTGTGTCGTCACGACTCTATCTAGAGAAATACTGGCGATAATCTACGAATCTACATTAGGTATATTCACAGCAGTATATACGTATAGGGCGTATTTATAAAAATCTTGCTCTTTACGTTCTGATAGTTCAACTCAATGCTGTTGGATGCTACTACTGCGCACAGGTCGCTGTAAAACGTAACACGCCCACATCAGTCTGCTGAGTTTCTAGCCGGTTTTTATCAGTTGCTATGATTCCATCCGGTAGTATATGCATTCGCAAAGCAGCTGCAAGGCTCATTAGGTACTGTATTGGTCGCGCACGGGCAGTTAGTAAACTCAGTTCCCCGCTGAGCCCGTGGATATTAAGAATCGAAATGTTTTAAAGGTCACCACAGGTGCGCTTTGCATCGTCATGACTTACACCGATTCAGAATGTATGTAGGTACCTACACCTCGGATATGTACCTACCCTAGAAATCGGTATTTAACTTTAATTCGGTGCACATAGCCTGATTTTTGTTATACAAAGCATGAGCTTTACTTGTGACAGCATACGGTTAGCCCACACTACGTACCATCCAGCCTGTTTCGGCCGCCAAGTTGACCCGTCTTCGGTTGAAGAGTGGAAGAGCCGCTATTCAATACAATTGTAATTTGTCTCAAGGGGGTGGTGACATTGACGTGTAAGGGTTATGATAACCATCTAACAACGGGTGAGACGTGTGATTCTTAACACATCTATGAGACTAATTTAAAAAGATGTTCACAATCACCCCGAACTGAAAAAACAGGTACTTAGTGAACAGGTTACTAAAATTAAATCGAAATAGGGGTAGGTTTCACACACAAAATTCTAAATTTAGAGTTTTCTTAAATGTAACATGACACCAGAGCTCTGTTAGTTTTTTTCTAAATTTGGAGAGCAATAATTCATAGGCATCAAAAAAATTCATACATTAAGAAAATAATGTAGAATATATGTATTATATTATAGCCGGTTAATGTAAACACCTTATTTAATTTGTTGAAATATTTTTTTTATTTGGTATGATATATACAGATGTATATGCGGAATTATAATATTACGGTGATATTTATACATTTATAATTTGATGAAAGTAATCAAAAGGAGAAGAAGTGTAATAAAAAAGTCATGACAAGAATTATATTACAACCGCTCGGCAGCTCGCAGCGCACAGACCACTGCTACATACAAACGTTAAACGACATTCGGTATTTACATTTATTAATTGCAACTCCAATTTAGTTTTACTGGTTTTGCCTATGCCATAAGTTGAAGCGTTCGTGCCTTAATTTGTAACGCACTTGATGTAATCGTAATGAATCGTATCGACTGAAACCACTATATTTAATTAATATGTCAACGCCCGAATATGTCATGATTTTACATTGCTTCCGCATGTTACTAACTGGTTGGCGAAGACCATAGACTCCGGGAATGCCACTACTCATCAGGAGACATGAAGTCTAAGCCTCAATTGTATAGTATAATGACGTAGGTACAAGTTAAGTGTCAATATCATAGAAAATACACTTAATATTTAAAAATAAATTTAAAGTTAAAACGCTTAGAGCCAAGATACGCTACCACAGACTAAATAAAAATTACAGGTATTGCATGATACCAAAGAGATTATAATCGTCTCAAAAATCACTATTTTTTCGACGGAGTGACAAAAATGACATTGGGCCTTCAATATCTGTTTAAAGTAAAACACGATAAAAAAATGTACACCTAAATTTAAAATGTGATTTATGAATTTTTTGAATATAATGCAAAAATGGGCGTGAATTAAATACTTAGATTACTGCTCTTGCTAAGTATAAACATAGAATTATGTTACGATAAAACAAACACACTAGCCCCTAATTTCATATAAAAGCAATGTATTTAAGAAAATTTACTCAATTTACATTGGTAGGCGCGCATACAAGAAGCTTAAAAACGATTTGTTCATTATTACTTAGCAAGAGCGGCTCAGATAATAAATCGGGATCAAAGGGTGTTGAAACTAACAAGGAAACGTGTCAAGAATGTCCTTCTTGCGCCTGCCCTAGTGATTTCAACCCATCAACTCCAAGCATGTACGATGTAAGCTCATGAAAATGTTAATTTAAAAAAAAACATTATCAATAGACTACTAACTTCACCTGGCAATAGACCGATCTCAATTTCCGCTACTATCATCCGTAAATACCATTAGCTTTTATTTCACTACCTTATAACTATTAAGTCAACTTATTTTAACTGAATCAAGAGGACGTTCTCTACTGGACTGTATATTTTTTTTAGTTTCATATCGATCTCAACGTTGTACTGGTTAGCTTTTATCTGTCGTCAGTCTGAAATTTAGGCATGGTATAATTAATTCAACCCCGTAGTACATTTCCTAATAATACAGAATTTAATATGAAGTCGTCGTGACCTAAATAATAAGTCGCCTGACGCACGCGTATCGAGCAATGCGAATAAGTCAGTATTCAAATCCTGCAGGAAGTTGCATTTTTTTGTAAATGAATTGAAGCTTAATATAATATATTCACAAATTATTTCAACGATATAGGTATATAATTGTGTAATAAAAATCAAACCCCCATAATATGTAACTCAAGCTGGGAGGCAGCGTTTGCGTTATGATGCCTGTGGGCATCGCCAGCCACTTAACACCGTTGAAGTCGTCGTGGCCTAACAGATAAGACGTCCGGTGCATTCGGGTTGAGCGATGCACCGGTGTTCGAATCTCAAGCGGGTACCAATTTTTCTAATGAAATACGTACTCAACAAATGTTCACGATTGATTTCCACTGTGAAGGAATAATATCGTGTAATAAAAATGAAACCCTTAAAATTATAATTTGTGTAATTACTGGTGGTAGGACCTCTTGTGAGTCCGCGCGGGTGGGTACCACCACCCTGCCTATTTCTGCCGTGAAGCAGTAATGCGTTTCGGTTTGAAGGGTGGGGCAGCCGTTGTAATTATACTTGAGACCTTAGAACTTATATCTCAAGGTGGGTGGCGCATTTACGTTGTGGATGTCTATGGGCTCCAGTAACCACTTAACACCAGGTGGGCTGTGAGCTCGTCCACCCATCTAAGCAAAAAAAAAAGTTAATTTACAATTTACAATACAATTACTCTCTCATGAAAGCTCATCAGTAATTAATGTAGATTTTGTTTTGAATTATTACAAAAATGTTGTCCATTATAACTAGTTCTACCACTAATTAATTACTAAATTACTAAAAAATTAATCACTCAAAGTTAACACAAATTTGAATAACTGTTATATAATGTTATAATTTCGTTATGGGCACACTATTAAGTTGAAGAATACTATGTTTTTGTAAAAAATATAGTGACTAACTTTAAATAAAAAACGTTTATTATAGCGTTTATAAATAGCAAATAATCTCACGAACAGCAAGCAACGACATTCATAATATTTCCGTAACTTGACAAAGTCAATAATGCAAATTTTCACACGTTACGTAATCTATCAAAACACTGTTCTCGAAGACGGAGCGATGATATAATTTACAATGTGGGGCCATTCCTAAATGCATACTCATCTACTACTATCGTTCTCAATTTAAATATTCGTTTATGGTATAATAACAAATATATTAAGTGTATAATCTATGGTATAATAAATACTACGGTAAATACTAGAAAATGTCGTCATTATGGACCTTTTTTTGACAAAGACATTCTACGTCATAGCTGCCGTTAGTTGTGTGCTGAACTGTGTGACCGTCTCATTAAATAGTAATTATTTTCTATTGTTTGCTTTTCAGTGTCGGAAATATGGCCACTGTTTACCTCCAAATGATCTCATAACTCGGTTCGAATGTCTTCCTAATTTTCCAACTGGTATATTTCGGTGCACCACCGGTGAGGTAAAGTTATATAAATATACGATAATAGTTTTTTCGCGCGGCTTTGCTCTCCTTAGTTTAGAGACAAATTATATTCTTATAGCATTCTTTTTCTACATAAAATATACCTACGTTTTATTTTCTGTACCTCTGGCAAATTATAATTATCTATTGAGTAGTTGATTCGTAAACAGATAAATAAACAACCTGGTTTTTCATTTTTTTATTCTTTTTTTATATTTTTCATTTACTTCAGAATTTGCATCCATATTACACTCATTAACATTTCATTTATACTAGAATTAAATAAAAATAATAACTACAATCTCGCACTAAAACAAAAGCAATAATAATAATAATAAAAACAAAAAATCAAATAGTAATAATAATAAAACAAAAACTCAAAATTAACATAAAAACTACCTTAACCTAAAGTTACTTTAAATTTATAATACATATTTATATGGATGTAGATCAAAATGTTACCTAATTAGCCGGCATTTTATTATTTCATTGTAGCGAGTAGATACGATTGTTTCGTTGTAATTCGAAAACAATTTTACACACACACCGGTTATAACTTAATTTCCTATGTTTCTTTCAGACTCTTGGTAGTGGTGCTGATAAAGGTTGCTGTTATCAATGTCCGGAATATTTCGCCTATCAGCACATGACTTTTTACGATTTGCATTTATATCTTAGGCCCTGCCGGAAACCTAGCGCTAAAACGGGAAGAAAACCTTGAAAACCACCAACCACACCATTTGGAAATGTCTTAAATATTAACTTTAAATCAATAAATAAATTAAAAACGTATATAGGTACGTCTATTAACCGGCTGTTTGTGAGAAAGTGAATCTGAGTAATAATTAAATAACAAATTGATTTCTTTATAAGCGCTTNATATCTTAGGCCCTGCCGGAAACCTAGCGCTAAAACGGGAAGAAAACCTTGAAAACCACCAACCACACCATTTGGAAATGTCTTAAATATTAACTTTAAATCAATAAATAAATTAAAAACGTATATAGGTACGTCTATTAACCGGCTGTTTGTGAGAAAGTGAATCTGAGTAATAATTAAATAACAAATTGATTTCTTTTTATGCACTTGCAATTAAAATAGCGTGTTTCACTTATTTTTGGTCATAATTTCGTCCCAGAGTTTTTCATAGGTACTCGACATGCTTTCATGTATCCGGTCAGATAGTTTTCCGATATCGTCTGTCGTCAAACCAGCTGTAGGTATAGGCTCTAAGCACTGGATAATAATATGACCTGGAAAACAAAAGTTTAATGCCTAAAATGGTAATGTCAAAACTGAAAAAAATTTAATTATTATTGTTAATTCTATGTTCATAATTATGTATTAGATATTAAAGAAACTTTGTTTTGGTTCCAAAAAATCTTTAAATGTTGGAAATAATATAATGTTAACAAGAAACACGAGATTAAGCCGTAAAGAAAATTTTACATTTTCGTTTATTTTATAAATTGAAATTAGGACAGATTATAGTTCAGCCTATGCTTTATCACAGTCTTATTGGGTAGCTGAGTATCAATGCAAATACTTTAATTTACTCCGTGTAATTACGATCCACCACGTCAATCAATAAGCCAGCTTGTATTGGATGGGTTGATAGAGGTACTGTAGTCAAATGAGGATCCGTTGTCTAAAAGATTTTGTTACGTTATTAGAATATTAAATAATAATCTTGCTTGAATATTTGCAGGTATAGTTACTTATAAAGCAAAGATAGGTTATAAGTTTTGCCACTTGATTACGCAACACGCATATCCTCCAAATGTTTTGTTGATTATATTCAGATGAATGTGGATTGTGGATTATTCGTCGTTTGAACTTCTTTCAATTAACAGGTTATTTAACGACAATGTGCTTTTTAGTTATTTTTTTCAAGAGGAAAAGATGGTAACAAATAATATGAAATATTTATATTAGTACTAATGCTAAGTAAATATTAACATTATGTTACTAAGTGGATCTCTGATACTATGAAAAATGCTCACTAATTAACATATTATGGTAACAAATGTGGCGACAAGACATACAGACTGTGGGTGAATGAGGTCAAAACAAAAGACAAGTTCAGTAGACTAGTTCATTGCCCTCTGTTCATTTACGACGCTCTTGCACTGCTAAAACATTGTCTGTTAGTATTGAAGAAAATATAATGTTTCGGTCGGATTCAAAACTGGATTTGTTTCTTTGCTGTGGTTTCCGGGAACACATGCGAGTATGAGACAAGAACAAGTCGTTGATTTGTCAGTCCATTCGCTCGTTTGTCTAGTTGCTGATTTGAATCAGCCCGTTCTCTTTGTTTGCATTTGGGTCCACAATTCAAACTGAATGTATTTAGAATACACTAACAAGATTATGTCTGACTAGACAAAGCTAAAATTTTTTTTGCGTATTTTTCTACATTAACATCTAATTTTAATATTGTGCGCAATAGGAATCTAAATTAAATAGATAATTTACTCGGAGACCTTGAAAACTACAATGTTTGAATGATGCATTAAACAACTTAGATACCTCTTGTTTATATTAAAATTTAATAAGGTTTTACGATTTTCTGTACTAATACATTAAAGTTACCGACATTAATATATTATGTAGTATCGCTTATTATATTGCGAACGTTAACGCGTTTTATTGCTGGAGATGTACAGACGAGCTCACGGCCCACCTGATTTTAAGTGTTCACCGCAGCCCATATATTATTATATACATTGCAATGTTTTAAAGTACGGCTTTGCAACCCTTCGAAACAGGAGAAATGAGCAGAAAGATAGTATCTACCTGTGCTGGCTTTTAATATGCTCTACCACCAGTGAGTCTTCTATATCAATCGCGTTTTAAGCTTTCGCGGCTATCTAATTTATAAACACTAGTATTTAACGGCTTACCACGGTTTTCATATTAAATCACATCCCGATATTTCGTCCGCAGCTTTAAAAACAGCCATAAGAACCAGTAACCCGACAAATGTTATTGTTTATAATATATCAAGCTTTATGAGTGTTTGCTATCATATTATATAAGTGATATTGTTAAAACATAACCGACCTTTGTCAAAAGTAAACGTTTTACTGTCCATAAAATAATACGGCGAGAATACAACGGGAATGATTGGAGCTTGCGACTGAATTGCCATATGGAATGCCCCTTTCTTGAAAGGCAGTAATTTTCTGTTTGGATTCTTATTTCTCGTTCCTTCGGGGTATATCCATATTTTTGTCTAAATTAAAAGAAAAAAAGGTATTAAAATATTTTGAATATTGCTTAAATTATTTCGTGGAATACAAAAAGTGCCAAGTAAAAAAATGTGAAGTTTTGTACAATAAATAAAAAAAAAACATTGAGACATTATTTTTAAATGTATATTGTAAATGGAATTTTTCTAGAAGCATACCTTATTTTTAGTTAATGCTTCGTTGGTGTCTTGGATGGTTTTATGTGCATTTTTTGGGTTTTTTCTATCTATGTATATCCCGCCGCCCAGGTAAGCTGCTATTCCGAAGGTACCGGCGTAAAATAATTCTTTCTTCATTATTACACACATTTTTCCCGCAATTTCCCACGCATTGAACATCCCTGAAATTGTTTAGTGATAAACTTTAATGGTTTATAATCGCTATTGAACTTGAACTTGTGGTAGAGTTTTTCATCATTTTTGTTAAAAAAATTGTCAGTTTATTAATTTTATTCTATACACGAGCTTACAATCTTGATTGTGACAGAAACATATCTTATCACCCACATAGAATTTAGACTAAAAAGATGTTTCAAGAAAATATGCGTTCAATCCATAATTGGTTACAATTTAGACTGCATTAATACTAATGAAGAGAATTTTGAATGAACTAACGCTAGCATAAATGTTTCATGTAAGAGGAAAAACCAGTGTTTTCCTTGTATTATTGCTTTTGGCGTGTCTAGGTTATTAAAAACAATTATCACTTGTGTGATAGGGCGTCGCTCAATAACGTGGCTTGAATATTTTAGCTAATTTTTTTGGCGCTATATTCGTTATTACCAAGAAAAGGATGGTATAAAATGCTTTTTTTTGTGATAAGTCTACGGGTAATTTCATTCCACCGGTGTATTAGAAATATCTAGTATTTTCATCGGTTTTTATGTATCGTCCATTACCCCGAAAACTATTTATAAACATTATCGAATCGTCAGAACAAGGGCGAATCCAGCTTTGGCGCCAGGAGGGGGTCACATAGTCAAATTTAGATGCGTTCGTTCCCAGACGTTTGCCATTATACAAAGTTATTATATTATATTAAATTAATTAAATATTTATGTAGTTACATAAAATCTGTATGGTGACAAAATATATAAATAAAATTATATTCAATTAGTGGTCCACCTAAGTCCTGGAACCAGCTCAGGGGGTGGTCATGACCCCCATGACCCCCCCCCTGGATCCGCCATTGCGTCAGAAATACGAGTATATTACGATTGATGTTATATAATGACAATAAAAAGTGCGTGGTAAACTAATTTTAAATTACTCATATCTATACACGCATTTGAAGATAAGATTTATATAAGTGATGATCGGAAAAACGTAGTCTAGACTTAAGATACCAGCAAGAATACGTACAAAAAGTGTTTTTTGAAAAAAGTTGAATCGACATTGAGCATTTGATCACGAGTTATATTTTATTCTTCTAGTCTCTTATTCTTCAATCACATTGATTTACATCGTGATTTTTTTCATAGCCTACTAGTCACGAGAAGGGTTGACAGTCGGCGGAACAGTCTCCATGAAGCCAACACTTTTTACATCATAGGTACTACATGCTGTGGCAATCTTATACCAGGGAAAAAAACTACAATAAGGATTAATACCCTGACCTTTAAAAGGGAATCTATAATTATTGAGATCCAGAAATAGGCCAGGCATTAGATCCAACCAATGCAGACTATAAAAAATCACACATTTTTTTAGTTCCGAATACAGTCAGAACTGTTATTTGTTTCAACTTGAACATATTAAAATTAGGTAAAAGTTTGTGACAATTACTGTAGTAATTACACATGTATAATAAAACTAAAAAAAAACAACTCTTAAATAGCGAACTCAACTCATTTCTTATTCTGTGGATACCGTACTGATATTAAAACTAAATTAATTATTTTATTGTCCGCGGTCTTTAACGCGTGTACAAAATTTCAAGTTTATCTTGCAGTCAGTCTAAACAACATAAAAATATTCCGTTATATAGAAACAAACATAGATACATATATGTTATACCTAAACAAATTAAAATTATTAAGAATTACAAATCAGTTCTGCTAAGATTACACAAAACGACTGATAATCAGTGAAAATAAAGACAGAAAGGTTGCTTGCTCACTTTGATACGCATGCCCGATGTTAATTATTGTAAGTAGCAGCGATTTTTTAATTCCCGTGTCGATCTTAAATGAGACAGGCGACCAGTCATATACACATACTGCCAATATTCATGGTAGGGCATAGGGGAGAAACGGATGAATTGAGTTAGATAAATATAGCCGGTATAAAGCATTGTCGAATTATGCATAAAAGAGCCATCGGAATGTAAAGTGAACAATAAATTAAAATACTGTACCAAGTGCATCGAAAATACATTGATGGTTATTTAAGATGACGGCTCCGTAGTCGCCAGACAGATATTCTCCGTTTCGAATGTGCCATTCAATACCTAATAGTTTATTCATATGCTTCATCACACGAGCGTAAATGCTGAAACACCAAATTAGATATGATCCATGACACCTGAGAGATTATTTACTAGTCAGTCACATATAAAATCAATAAAATAATTTCTTAAGTTTCAATGATAAATATATAGATACATATGATACATGCACCAAGCACTGACATAAGTTAAACACATCAATGTTCAAATAATTCTACAAATTTTTTTAGAAAATTTGCCGTATGAACGTTACCATCAGTAAATATCCTCGACAAGTATTAGGTTGACAACAATATTATTATAAATGCATAATGCAGATGCCATAAAAAATAATTTATTTATACCTACACACTGCAATAGCGTGCATGTATATGTAAGCCCATTCCGTTAACCAATACAGGGTATGGATTCCGACAAAATTAGTGAAGAAGAAAAAATTAAAATAATAGGTCGGGGAAAAAGTATTTTCGCATTATATAGTATGTATGAACTTGTAATAAAATTTCTTTGGCTATAGGTACTATTTGTATCTGGCTGGTTTTAGTATAATTCAAAGTTTAAATTTTAAAGAAGATAATTCCCAATTCAATTTAGGAAAATTTGTTATTTTTATTTATTTTTCGTACTGTCAAGATGAGTGAATCTAATGAAGAAATTCGATACATTTTAAATGTTTACTACAAAATAGGTAAAAATGCAAAGCAAGCGGCGAAAAAATTTGCGATGTTTATGGGTCTAGTGCAGTGTCTGTACGAGTAGCACAGATTTGGTTTAAGCCTTTTCAATCCGGAAATTTTGCTGTCAAAAATGCACGTCGCTCTGGTCGCCCTATTACGGATAAAATGGATGCCATTTTTGAAAAAGTGGAGTAAGATTGGCATATCAGTAGTTACGACGTAGTTGAAGAACTGGGAATTGACCGCAAAACAGTTTTGGCGCATTTGAAAAAACTGGGCACACAAAAAAGCTCGATAACGAGCTCACTGAAAGAAACCGAATAAACGTGTACTCATTTGTGATTCTTTATTACGACGTAATTAAACCGAACCATTTTAAAAGAAACCGATAACTGGTGATGAAAAGTGGATCATGTACGACAAAAACATGCGAAAAAGGTCGTGGTCCAAGGCCGGTCAGGCTTCACAGACTGTTGCGAAACCCGGGTTAACTCGCAACAAGGTGGTGCTGTATGTGTGGTGGGATTGGAAGGGCATTATTCATTATGAGCTGTTTACCACCAGGTAGGATCATCGATTCTGAACTCTGCTGCGAACAACTGATGAGATTAAAGCAAGAAGTTGAGAGAAAGCGGCCGGAATTAATCAACAGAAGGGGTGTGGTTTTTCATCATGATAACGTTAGACCTCACACACCTTTAGCCACTCAGCAAAAATTAAGAGAGCTTGGCTAGGAGGTGTTAATGCATCCGCCGTATAGTCCTGACCTTGCACCTTCAGATTTCCACCTGTTTCGGTCTCTTCAGAATTCTTTAGGCAGTGTCAGGTTAACATCCCGAGAGGACTGCCAAAAACCAATCGTCGCGGTGTTTTCATCAGAAGCCCCAACATTTTTATAATAATGGGATCATGTCGCTACCTACAAAATGGCAAAAAGTTATCGAACAAAATGGTACCTACATACTTTAGTTAAATGTAAATAAACTATATTAAAAAATGTTGCGAATTTTCTTAAAAAATGCGAAGAAACTTTTTCCCCGACCTATTATGTAGCTTTACACACAGTGTGACACGGTTAAAGATCAGCTGTCCAAGAAGGTCAACGGGGAACTTGGTCAACTGACGGTTGTCTTTCTTCATGGATCACTCAATATGAACTTATCAAAACGATAAGCGTACATGCTTAGTTTAATATCGTTGTTCTGGCTTAGTTTAATAAAGTAGTTTTGTTTTTCAAGCATATTAATATACAAAATGTTATTACAAATGTAACTAAATCAGTGTATAGCACAAGAGATATAAAAGTTAATAATTGAAACCATACGTAATGTCTAGGATAATAAGTTAATTTTAAATAGAAAATGTTATTAATGGTATAAGCATTGACTTAATAGAAAAATACATAAATTCATCCGGCTTCTTAACTTGTGGTAAATGTGTATATTTTTAATAGAAAATAAAACTTACGTTCCATTCTTTACGTCCCTTGGCCTCAGCAAGAACGGCGGTATAACAACAATAGAACTTAGGAAGATCAAAAAATAGAATAGAAAAATTTTAAAATAATAATTTAGGCGTTTCAATCTGTGTCCGTACAATGCGGTCACTGCATAAAGAATCGTGCACAATATAAACGGCAAATATAATATTATCCACATTTCACCAATTCTAACTTAAAACAATTGAATTTCTTGAATTTACGTGCACGTGCCGTATGTTCTGTATACGTATTAAGGCAAGCCAGTCTAAACGGCTTGCTTGTAGCTATCAAACTGAGACTCGACAAATTCGTAATCATTTACAGTAACGATTGTATCAGAAACTTGTTCTAGCTGTTTTGTCAATTTTGAGTTTTCGTAGTTTCAAACTTCATAGGTGCGCTAATTTTGAGAATTAATAAATATTGGTTTTGATTTGTATATGCCCTGTTAAATTTATTTCTTAGTTCACGGTAAGATAGGAGAGAGTCTCATTTTTTTTTATTTATTGTACAGACGGGTGATCCAGCTCGCGGTGAGTCTGTTACTGTTAAGCCCAGACATCACAGCGTGGAGCGGCCACTCACCTTGAGACTGGTTTGAGTTTCAACAGTATAATGTAAGAAATAAGCAGGTAGTAAAAATTACCGGGTGGAACACTAATTATTTCCAGCCTCTATTGTTTTAGTCTGGGTCTAGATTATCCTAATTATATTTATAATAACGAAAGTCTTTAAGGCCAGATTTCAAGTTCATAATTTACTTAAAACTTAATTCGAAATATATGTAAAATACATCGTCCTTTTTTGTATTGTGGTTGTTTAATACGAGTACTAATTAAAAACCAAAATAGGTAATTTAAAATCCTTGTATTCACAAGTTGTCTAGTCGGCCAGTATATCAATTATAACTTAACAACGCATTTAGTAGAATCTGTTCATTTTATAAAATACCCACAGATTTCAGTTAAATGGAAAGAAACAATATATATTCGAGATTTCCGTACAAACTTTTGATTTGTTATATTATCGAGTACATTTATTTACTGGGGTACTGGCGCCCATAGATATCACGACGATCAACGACTGTATATGAGTCGACTAGTATCAAAGCCGGTAATGTGACTTTTGGACAATTATTGGTAAATCAGAAAAACGAATTATTGACTTTGTATTCCATTGGCAGCCACACAACTCTTCCGAACGACATCTTAGATAAATAACAAGTTAAGTAATAACCTTTATTTAATGCAGGTTTTGAACCGTATTCTTTGAAGGAGACGATTATATTCAAATCAATCTGTATTGACATATCAATAACATTTTTTTGTTCAAATGCACAGATTGCCACCTTTGATAATAGACGACTCATATCTAATCAACCGAACGCTTGGAAGTTTTGTGGTAGGAAGTTGACACCTTGCCGGGCTACAATGCGCCCTAAGATTAATATGTAAGTTTGATAATTTATGACGCGTTCCACGTTATTCCACGATGTTATATATTTTCAGCGTAGAGGTCATTCATGAAGATATGTTGATCTAAAGCTAGGTATAATCGCAATATATTTTCCTTACAATTTTTTTTCCTTACTTATTCGCTGGTAGCCTAAGAGGCTTTTCCAGTTACGCCTGGACAGGCAGGTGAGCTCACGGGCTCATCCTGAGAGGATTTGCTAACACTAGCCCTAGCAAGAGCAGTGCTTCGCAGAATCTACCCCCGGATCGGAATCGCGACCCACTAAAGGAGATCTGGCGAAAAACTCATTGGGCTTTGTCTATGGGTTAGTTCGCTCGTCGAACTCTTCGTCGTAATCGACGAGTTCTATGAGGATGATGACCGGTGCTTGAGGGTCCTAGAAGCACCGAGAGTGAATCCGGGGATCGACATGTTTCGGGCAAGCAGGACTCCATAGAACCACACCGGACTTCTTATAAATTCGGCCTAGGTCGCTTACGCAACTATTATCTTTACATTATCGGGTTACGTGATTACAAAATATTCGCTGTGTGATAATGGACTATGTTTTGATAGTGAAAATGGAGTGCAGTGGTGTTTTCTTTTAATTTTGTTTGGTTTACATCTGCAGTACGCGTCGCGGCGTCCCATCGCTAGATATTGAAAATACTCACTGAACTCCAATAACAACTGTACAAAGTTTCTATTTAATCGGATAAGTAAAAAAGAACAACCAGACAATTACGAACACGGTCATTAAATTCTCTTTTATTATGTTCTTTACATTTCGCGTATTTCTTGCTTTAAATTGATATAATTATCTACTTAATATGTAGAGTATTAATGTAGTTTGCAATCAATATTCTTTATCTAATGGTTATCATTGGTAAAATATTTGATCGTGACCACGAAAACCGTATAGTATAAACAGTAGTAAACAGTACAGTATAGTATTCGAAACGTCGTCTACTATACTGTACTGTACGGTACTGTACAGTACTGTACTGCACTGCACTGTACTGTAATGTAGTGTAGTGTACTGTACTGTACTGTACTGTAGTGTAGTGTAGTGTAGTGTAGTGTAGTGTACTGTACTGTACTGTACTGTACAGTACTGTACTGTACTGTACTGTACTGTAGTGTACTGTACTGTACTGTAGTGTAGTGTACTGTACTGTACTGTACATACTGTACTGTAGTGTAGTGTACTGTACTATACTGTACTGTACGGTACTGTACGGTACTGTACTGTACTGTACTGTACTGTACTGTACTATACTGTACTGTACTGTACTGCACTGTACTGTACTATATTCTTAATAAAAACGCGAGTTTAATTCGTAAAAGTAGTTTAAATTGTATCTAGGATTTGCGAAAATCGAAGAAAATGCTATAAAATTCAATTCAGTTTTATTAAAACGTTAAAGGTTAAGTAGCTTTGCAGTTCAGTATCACAGTGTGCATCGTACAAATAACTCGTTGTTCAAACGTTCAGGTCGGGACATTCGACACATAAATAAGTCTTGTCCATACGACGATATGAACAAGTTTATTAGTCATTGCACTTAGGTTGCAATGACACACAAAGTCATCTTTAGATCTAATGCAAGCCTTGGAGAAATCATGGTAGCCAAATCGACTGGTACCCCTTGATACTTCATGGTTTCAATTAAACTATTTAAAAAAAGGTTAATAATTAAGCTGCTGTAAGCAATTCAATAACTTCATGAAATTATTGATATATAATATACGAGTATATAAAACTTGTTTATTAAACACTAGCGACACGCCCTCGCTTCGCTTCGGAAACATTAAAACACACATGAAACCAAAAAAATAAAATATAAAAATAATAAAAAAAAGTAGTCTATGTTCATCAGGGACAATGTCGGCTTCTAATGGAAAAAGAATTTTTCAAATCGGTCCAGTAGTTTCGGAGCCTATTCGAAACAAACAAACAAACAAATCTTTCCTCTTTATAATCTAATATATAAAATTCTCGTGTCACAGTTTTCGTTGCCATACTCCTCCGAAACGGCTTGACCGATTTTGATGAAATTTTTTGTGCTTATCCGGNTGCGTGTGTGCGTCAAATACATGGTATGTAGTGTGTGTAATGTTTTCTTTATTGATTTAATGTATCTTTTATGCATTATTTTAAAAAAATATTAGCATTGTGCACTTCTTCTCTATATTCTCTATAAGTGTGGAAAATTTCATATTCCTCCGTCCGCGCAATTTTCGTAAAAAGGGATACAAAGTTTTTGCTTCACGTATTAATATATAGATATAATATACGAGTATTTAAAACTTGTTTGTTAAACAAAAGTGAATCGAATAGCTGTTTTGAATTACTGCGTTTCATGTCGAACATCGGTTAAACGCAACAGTTCATAATATGACAGGTGAAGTCATTTGTATTCCAAATGTATGACGAATCAGCCATAGAACACATTATACTTATTGTGTATATACTTAGTCTGGCCATAAATACTGCTACAAAGGAAAACAAAAAAAATTCTATGGCAAATAACATTTATTACTTTTACAGTGTGTTAGTTTAATACATAAATATAAAACAATTTAAAGTATAAAAAGCTTATTCGAAGTGGTCTCCATTGGCTGCAATACAGTCCTTTAAACGTTGAGGCCAGTTATCAATAGAAGCACGCACTCTTCCATGGAAAAATTTTTCACTGCCAATCATACGGATTGTTTTAGGGACTCCAAATTATCATGGCGTTTAGAGCAAGCCGTACTCTCTAAAACTGACTATAAATTATAATCCAGCGGATTAAAATTGGGACTAGACGACGGCCAGTCTTCAGCTCTGATGAAATCCGAAACGTTCGTTTCCAACCAAGACTGCGTAGACCGAGCTTTATGACCTGGCGCCGAGTCTTGCTGGAAGGACCATTCTTGATTATTGAACATGGTGTTACTAAGGGGCTTCACTACCTTCCCAAGAATGGTATCTTGATACACTTGTGCCGATGTTTTGATACCTTTTTCACAAAAGTATGGCTGAGTCACTCCTTCATAGCTAATATCCCACCAAACCATCACTGAAGTTGGATAGTGCCCACGTTGCACTCTGTCGACTAATTGGGAAGCTTCCTTAGAGCTTTGAGCATAAATACGGTCATTTTGTTTGTTAAAATGTTGCTCAATTGTAAAAAAATTCTCATCCGTAAACAAAATTTTTCTATGACCTCCCTTTGCGCACCGCTTCAGTAGTTGTTTCGATTTTACCACCCTATTTTCTTTTAAATTATCAGTTAAGAAATGACCAGTACGTCTCTTATAGGCTGCAAGTCCTAAGTCATCTTTTAAAATACGCGACATGGTTCTAGGTGCTATCTTCATCTCCCGAGATAAAATCTTTTGCTTTCGGACAGGATTTCTTCGAATTCTTTCCCTTACTGCTTTGATCACCTTTTTCGTACGAACACTACGTGGACAGCCATATCTTTTTCTGTCACAAACAGAGGTCTCATTGCACCTATAAATAACCCGGTACACAAACATTTTACTAATACCAAGAGTATGGAGAGTTTTAAAAATGGCATTTGGCTCCATACCTACTTTGTGTAATGCAATTACAGCGATTCGGTTCTCTTTATCACCCCACTCCATTTAAATATCACAAAATATTGTACAATGTATTGGCGCCAAAATGAGAAAACTCAATGAGCAATCAAATAAAAATGACAGATTCCAAATTCAAATGTAATATTTTGTTTATTTTTAATTGTAACAGTATTTATGGCCAGACTAAGTATACTCACTGACATAATGATATACGATTGTCATTTAGGTCGACCTTAACGTACCTACCTATATTGTGACGATTTTTTTTTAATAATGTATAATTAAAGTTTGGTTGATCGTTTGAAATTAAATCAAGTTTTTATAAAACTCTCTAAATTGTTACCCGATGAGTGCCTGGTTGTCTAGAATGTTTAATCCAATTAGAAACATTATTTAATAATAGCTAGATAGCGATACCATTAGAATGTCATTCTTTGCTTTGCGTATAAAGGTATTTTTTTATAAT